ACTGAGGCTTGGGTTTAACGCATCGCTGCACGGGTCTTTAAGGGGGTCCTTATTCATAAACAGTAGTGCAGTAAATACCAGAGCTTTGCAGTCAATTTAATAGCAGTTATGCTTAACAAATCTGCCTCAATCTAATGATCAGCCACAAAGCTAGGCTATGGGTTTAATCTGCACACAGAAGCTCCCATAGCGCTGCGACTCACTGAATTTGCTTAGGGATCTCTCCATCCAGAGAGAGGAGAGCACCGGCCTGACACTTAATCCACACAGCACAACACAAGGATCAACACAAATATAGAACAATGATAGTCTTTCATGAATAAAAATAACATTGAAAGTCCTAAAAACACTGCAGGGGCAATGCATATAGATGTAAAATACATCAGGATGCACTCTTTTCCAAATCCTTAAACTCCTCTCTCCTCTGTCTTCTCTCCTTCTTATTCCAGCGCAGACCGCGCACTTTAAATCAAAACCATGTGGATTTCAGACCATGTATTACCACAGAGTGAGGCTTTACAACAGCAGGTGTTTCTATGAGAAAGAAGCTTCCTAGGGATAAGTGCAGATAAAAATTATATACATGTCAATGTAGAAAAGAACGAACACTGCAAAAGTATCACATGTGAGAGCATAAAAACTTTAAAAGATAAATGGCTGACACAGTGAACTGCATATATTCACAGCAATGCACTACTGAAAATTGTCCCACCACAAAAAAAAAAACATAAACGTAAACATTTTCATACGTTTTCTTTCTTTCAACAATTGATGCGCTGAATTGGCATAAAAAGAATATATAAATAAATAGCACCTGGAGGACAATTGTGCTTGCCTGAATATTTTATCTGGGTGACACAAGGGGTCAAAATGTTATTTCTGACCACTATTAAACATATGTTATGTTGACAACATGGCACCAGGAGACTGATGATGCTCCCCAGGTAGCATGACACAGAAATGTACTTACATTTCCCAAAAGAGCTCTCACATGGCAAATATGACTCCAGAAAGGAAAACACACATATAGTTTTGCTTTGACAGGAATAATATTTTTGGCAAGGTATAAAACTAAATCCAGCTTTCGTAAAAAAAAAAAAAAGAAAAAAAAAAAGAGGGGGGTTCTTTTTTTTCATAAGGTTCTTTTTTTTTCTAATAAAGTATTTTGACTCTCAACCCAGAAGGGACTGAGATATCATGACGATGGCCCTTAAACGATAACTGTTCCATACATGCCCAGCCAGTAAATAACCTGAGAGTTAGTTGATAGCAGGGAATTAGAGCCAAAGCAGCAGTGCGTAATGGGGATGGATAGGAGGCTCAGGCCCGGGTCACAGCCGCTTAGGAATCAATGCGTACAGTTGTACTACCACAGGTCTATACGAATGGAAAAAAAAAAAAAAACTCCAAGAGAAAAGGGAAGAAAGTAGGAAGAGGAAAACTAGGGGAAAAAACAAACTACGATCATTCATTTCCATTATCACAATTAAAAATCACCACTCAGGTTGGTACTGGTTTTTAATTTGCAGGGAGAGGAAGACTAATGTCGCAAACTGAGAGCAGTGATGGTGCTGGCAAGACAAACTACATTACCGTCTTGCCTTCCAGCACAAGTGCAGTGGAGCTTTAAGGCTGCACACCAATCCAGAGGCCATGATATTTCATGCATAAATAAATTCATTTATGTGCTTTTCATGTTCATGTGCATTAAGAACAAAATTAAAGAGCTTAAATGTAAATTTTCTAATGAAATAATATCCTACCATTACTAATAAAAATGTCACATTTCCTGTGGAAGAAATAAGCACTGAAGAAAATGGAAATAGCCTTGACACTTGGATTAAAACACTATTGATGCCATTAAAATGCTAAGTGGGTCCAACCAATTGGCATAACCACATTTCACTTTAGGAATGTCAAAGGAGTACACGACAAGTAGCAATTACTATTAGAATACTGTTAATTATGCCGGCTGCATATTTAATATGTGGCAGAGTAAAACAAAGGTTATGTTAATGTGGGTTTATTAAGTATTCACACAATATAAAAATGTCTCTGTGTTGTCACTTCACGTGGCAGTCTTGAGAAAAGCTGCTTTTTTCAGATGAACACTTTTCTATTTAGTAAGTGCATCAACCAATATTAAATGTGGATTATCATTTTCATTATATAGTTTTAATGAAGACAAAAATGAGCACGTGTGAAGAACATTACACTTAAAAAACTGAACAGTAGTGATAAGCATGGACCTCCTGTGCCCCCTTGTGGTGAATCTATATGCAATTGTCTCCGTTCTGCTCACAATCCACCGTGTAATCAAAAACAACAATAATCTTGTTTCTCAGAATTATCCACCATCCCAAAAAACTCATTCAGCTTGGTTTGTTGGGCATATAATTTTTTTGCCCGCTGAGAAGAGCGTGATATTTCTCTGGAGAATGAAAAGGCTCCTTCAACTAAAACAAAATGCTTTCTTACAGTTTATCCACGTTTAAGATCATCACTCTGGAAGAAGAAATATTTTCTTATTTCTACATGTAAAAAGGAAGAAATAACTACAGTTTACTCAATAGCAAAGAAAGCCCTAAAGAAAGACCCAGTCTGAGCTTCACTACCCACACTAAATGAACCAACATATTTAAGTATTTTTCTCTTTCTGATTAAAAAATGTAACTCACTGCTCTCCATGTTTATCACTAATCAAAGCTTTTGGTATTGTAATTATCAGTAACACTGAGATTGATTTAATTTATCTTTATCTTTGTTCGTCATAACTGTGGATCAACTGTCAGCTCACTAATATGCCTCATTTCACACTACATTTATTAAGTTAATCAAATGATATAGCTGCAAGCGCAAATGATCGCGGTTCATGTTTTCCATCCCACACACTCTGGATTTAGATCAGGTTAAAAATCTTAAGAAATGAAAAAACTTTTCTAATTTAAACTGGTTTATAGAAGCTGAAAAATGTCAGTGCTGTTTGATCATATAACTGGAATAACCACAGCATATACCACTGAGAAAGAATAGCTTGAGATATTTGTTCTCACATTAAGGCAAGCCTGAACAGTATTTAAAAAAATGTGTGCTAGTTTTGGTAAGAATTGAATGAAGATGGATATATCTCTGAATCAACAGAACACTGCAGTGACAAAACAGTCACAAAAATCAACCAATCGATGCATGTGTTGAACAAGCATTTAGTCAGCATTTAGTCTGACGAGAGCATGTTTTCAGTCTAACAGTTGAGTGTGTGAAATAAATAAGTTCCAACAGACCATATTTGATCATAACTAAATGAGACCCTGTGGTCAAGTAGACTGGATCTCACAGGTTTTATATTTGTTCTTTCATACACAACCCAATTTCTGTTTTTATGAAAAACTGTTATGCAGGCAGAAAACGAGAGATTTTAGCATCTAAATAAAATATGTTTATTTACCAAAAGGTTGGGCAAGGCCAGTACAGCATATGCCCTCTTGCTGTTTTAGTGAAAGCTGCGAATGGTTCAGCATTGTCTTGCTGGAATATGCAAAGCCTTGTCTGACAAAAAAGTTTGCTGAATGGGAGCACACGTCACTCTAAAAGCTGTATAAATCTTTCAGCAGTGATGATGCTGGATGTGCTTATTGCTAGTTCCATTTACTGTACATTTATGTATGGCAGAGATACAGATTTTTAACCACTTACTGATAACAATTCCCACCTGTTGCTTGTTCCTCTGGATGTTTCTCTTTAGTACTTTTTTTAGACATGTTGCTGCAATTAAACTGAAGATGAGTTCCTTTTTTTCTATGAGGTAATAATATGTTCTACTTATTGACTTAATGTTGCCTACATTCTATTGTGAATCAAGTATTTGTTTTTGGGAGATTTGACTATAATTTGATTTTGTTTTTAATCTACATTTTAAACATCATCCAAAGGTCTTAGGTAATGCACCGAAAATGTAAATTCTACTGTGACGTCTTATGAATGGAGTGTAATGCAAAGATTGAATTTACTGTTTATCATGAGCTACATATAGGTGAGACGTTTCTTTTGTTTTTACTACAGAAACACTCTAAGGAACACTTAAAGCTAACAGTGTTCAGCTGTGCTGACAATGGCCAAACAGGTCCCATTTTCTCTCCAGAGCATATGTATTTAACATTTAACATTTTACTTTTTCATGTCAAAAGGAAACCAAATCAGAAGAAAACTCACTTCTTGCATCACTGACCTAAACAGAAAAAGCTCATTTTTAGGTCAAAATGGAAATCTAAGATTAAAAATATATTCATACGTTTAAAAATATATAGAGAAAAACCTTTTTAGATGATGTATTTCTACTAAATAGACAGAGGATCATCAAGGTCAGGAAAGCATTAAAGCTCGCAAGATTCTTTGTTGAATGAAGGTCCCCAGGCTGCTGTAAATCTGTGTATTACAGTGCTGTCTTGCAGTATCACATAATACACACACAGCAATTACACTGCTGTGGTTTTCCTTGGGACAAAGAATTTGAATATAAAGACAATTAACGATTTTATGTCTATTTGATTTTTCCTCATGCTGTCATTATCTATCTCGAACAAAGCAGCAAGTCTGAACAAATGGCCACTACTTGTGCTAATTTAAACTAAAGCTTAAAGGAAATACATTTGTTTCCAAACCATTATATAGCGAGCCATGCATTTGCTGGGTACAAATGGACACCATTCATTACAGTTAACAATGACATCCAATTCAACCCTGCTAATGAACTTCAATACAGTCATGTTCGGTACTAAGGAGTGATTTGTTGAGTCTAAGTGTATCATTTTGGAGGCTAATGTTGATGAATGCCTGGTTGGGGAGGGATGGGACGTGCACGAAGTCAAGGCGTTCTTGTAATACACTTCTGAACTACAGTGCACTACCACCACCTAGTGGAATCATTCTGGAAACACGTTTTTCCCAAGAGCTGGCAGTTTCCATCATCATGAGGCATCTTCAAAGATACCACCGCACTCACCAATGCCAGAGTTGCCCCCTGTAATGAGGATGACTTTGTCAGAAAGGTCCCGACCCTGCAGAATCTCCAAAGCAGCAGTGTTTCCATCGTAGCGTTTCGGCTTCACCAATACATCCTCCACTGTAAATGCCTGGCGCGGGTCAAAGTATGTGGTCCGCTTGTTAATGTGACTGAAAGAAATGAAGTAAACCGGATTTATAGTAACAATATACTACCAGAACTACAGTGTAGCAGCAAAGGCAAAATCAACACAGCGACAGATAACTTACTCAACGTAAATGATCTGTCCTTTCTCATCTGTCTCCTGCTCCCAGCCATAAGGCAAATCTGTGGGAAAACACTTTTATTTCTCCTAAATAGCCACAGAACATAGGACTTAAAACGCACATATTAACAACAAATTCCAGACTGATAGTTAGAAATTTAACTCATGCATCACTTTTTTAAATAAAATTACAGAACACAACTCAACAGTTAACAAAGTATCTGTTTGGTGACATGGCGGTAATACTTTACCTCCACTTTAATGAGATGCAAATCAATTTTGGGAAGAGGGACACTTATCATCTGACTGAACTCTACATGGATCATTTAAAACAAACCTCCAGCACAGCGTTTTTTCTTTCCGGTCTTGGGATGCTCCCACTGTGTCTTCATCTCTTCGTGGCTGTTGGTACACAGATTAAGAATGGAGAAACCTAAATTAAACTTGTCTTTATGTTCTTTCATTTGTTAATTAATTCTGTTCTGGAAACAACGCTGAACAAACCCAAAGATGTGTGGCATTTAGCTTGAAAATGCTAATTTGCATCTGCAGTCTCTTGGATGGTTAATCCTAATAATGCAATGATATTTTCAAATCAGAAAACAGAAACTACAAAGTTAGGTCACCATATTGTAAATACAAACGAGAGTCTCATCTAAGATGAGTTAATTTAGCCATTAGAGGTCAAAATGTTAATCTTTCTGCAGCAACGTGATTATTTCCTGAAGGCAAGTAGCATTAGATTATTTATTAAACTGGTGTTTTAAAAAATGTAAAAGATTATCTTCTTATAGCTGTGTTTTACAGTTTAAAAAGGCTAAATGTAATATAGTCTGCAAGATCTGTAATTTGTTACCACCCAGTTCAACAGCTTTAATCGTGTATACTGCAGCAGAGAAGGGTCTTTCAGTTCTTATTCGAGGTTTACTCACCAAACTTCAGACACCCTGGCAAAAACGGCGTAGATACACATCAATTATAAGAAAATTACGATGACGGTGATGTAAAGATTTAGCCCTAAAACACGGTTAAATATAAAGTCAAAGAGATATGCTCTTTGACAGAAAACGTTTACTTACTTTGCATAGTAGACCCAACCATCTTTCGTGGACCTTTCCTCCCATCCTGGGGGAAGCTCGTCGTCACTGTCTGTATCGTCCATGCCAGCGTACTTTAGAGCTGCCATGGCTCAAGTTCTACGTGAAAAAATGGAGCTACAGACACAAAACCGGACACAAACCGGTGCTTTGACAAAAATTAATACAGATGTCAGCTGCGTTCCCCAACACTTCCGTAACAACACAGTGACGACAGCCGAACAGCCTTGTGGGAAATTGAGGCGGAAAGATTCTAGCCACTTTGACGGATAACCTGATTGTTTCGTTGTCAGGCAACTGATGACGTCATGGTCTCTCCAGAGGTCGTGCAGCAAAATGTCCAAATTTAAAGGTTGATTCAGCTACTTTGCGTGTTTGATATTTTGTCTTTTTATAATAATGAATTCATATCAAGGTAACGGGTATTAATAGATTTTTTTAAATCCTAATTTTTGTAGTTCCTATTGAAATATCTCCCATAAAGACATGTGCTTTTTTTGTCCAACCTACCGCCCTAATCCTTTTTGTATGTGAGGGGACGGATTTACACGCAAATTTACTAATGTCACAACTTTGATTATATTACAGATAACATTATATCATAACCTCTTGATAACTATATAATTAAAAAGTAATTTAAAAAAACATATTCTGCATATTTAATTATGTATTACCAGTGATCCTTTCCCCTTTTTTTTCTCATCCACAAAAAAAAATCTCCACATCAATCAGAGTAAAATCATTAAGGGTTATACTCACATATTCAAAACAAAACCAAAAAATGTATACAAAAGTGTCATTGTGCAAAAAGTGGAAGACACAAGTGATGTGGAAGTGTTCAATTTAAGTTTCCACACCCATGACACATACCCAAGCCTTTTGTATGCAAAAGCAGCAGTGTTCATCTCTTCCTCCTACTTTACCTGACTTTTAACGCAATTTCTCTCAGACTGCAGGTGTCTTGTCTGCCCTTTTGGTCTGTTTGAATATGAACACTGTTCTTGTAATGAAAAGGTCCCAAACAATTAATAGAATTTTACAAAATACATACACAATATACAATATTATGTTCTAATTATGTAATCTCGCTGCTGAATTACTTGTCCAATCAGTCAAGTTCAGGTTTTCATCCAAGTCTGTCCAACCTTTTGAGATGTATATTTTTGTGTCTCATAAGAAACTTTAAGCAGTACTTCAAAGTAAAATCAATGTAATGTTTTTATTCTTTTTGACCCATAAGAAACATAAAGTGCATTTGAGACTGTTGACAATCCCCCATATATTGATGTTGCTGAAAAGAAAAAGAAAAATCCATCAGAACAGATTATCAAGCAAGAAATTAATATGTATTAATATGTCCAATCTTTTATCTTTGATATCCAGTTAAATACAAATTAGGACAATAATCTCTTACTCTTGTCCTTATGTAATATATAATAACATGGCTACGGACATTTTTGACAGAATTTTTGTCCGGCGTTGACTAGAAAATTCTAATCTGTTTGTCCTTGAGTACACTAAAATGTTTGCACAGCACTCACAAGAAGCAGACATTGAAGTTTGAAGATCAAAACTTTGGCGTCCAAATTAGGTCATCTGGCAAATATGCAGTTATCCCCTCCAGCTTCTCTAGAGATAGCTCACTCATGCTAATGGAATGTACAGTCTAAAATCATAATGCCTTATACAGCACAAAAGAAAAAAGTACAATGACATGAGGTGCCTGACGGGATTTTATTTCCCTCATGTTAAGCTGATGCTTACCTTAGCTCAAATGGTTTTGCTTCAAATACCATAATTTTACGTTTTCTAAAAACTCATTGCCCTTCTGAAATTATTTCTGGAACAGTGTGCATTCTGCTGCACGTGAGATGCTTTTTCCTATTGTGCGGGCTTTTAATGCAGCTGCTTTTTAACATTGATTGCCTTGCCCATTAAAAGCAAAGCAGCATCTTCTATTGTTAGTTCAAACTAATATGTTAGAGTTCTCAATATTCGTAAAATTACTCTAAAACATAAAAAGAAATGTTACTTTGGTTAGTATGACAAAAACCGACTTGGGATCAACACGATTTTCAATAATGTTTGTTATACTGAATATGTCATAATGAACACTTATAAAACAATTCTGTTTTTAAAAAGTGTAGTGATTTCCTCTGTGTAATGGGAAAAGTAGGATCTTATCAAGGAATCTTTCACAATGCTTATCCATTTCTGTAAGCCAAAAATAACCCAAATCGGAACACCCTCCTCTTGACAGGGCATGCATGATACAAGGATACATGTTATCAAGTCACCATGAACTAATTCAGCCTGATGTCTCAAATGGCTGAGTATTAAAACAAGAACAAATGAAAGCTTGCTGTGATGGCTGAACTCCAATGAACTCGTCCTGGCCACTGCGCATGCTCCTTAATTCTCTGTGGGCGGAGCTACGAGATGGGCCGACCCGACCAACAGTAGTCAAGCGTGTGTTTGTGTGTTAGTGTGTGTTCGTCTCATCGAAACGTGTCTCCTCAGCAAAGACACACACATACTAACGTGATAGAAACGGTTTCTCTTGTTTTTGAAAGTTTCGTTTCTGTTGCCTTGAGATTGTTTTGATTTTATACTATGTATATTAAAGAATTTCGCGTGTAAAACGCAGTATTTATTGGCCATTTCTACTGAAGACTGTCCGCTCCTCCTACCCTCGATGAAGCGCTGCGATGCCCTCTGATTTTATATCCCTCCTTAGCTCGGATATCGACCTCAATTCCCCCAAATCGCTATACTCTAAAGGTAAGATATCACTTCATACATGCTACTATGAAGTCACTAATCCAATTTGTGTCCTTCTCTTGCTGAAAGCTAAATGAATATCCTGATAGCTCACGTTAAGCTGCTAACTAGCGGCTGTTAGCTTCTTTTCTGCTCTTAGCTAGACTAGTTAGCATAGTTAGTTGGCTGTCTTTGGCTTGCACATAACCGACCAATTACCTGGCAGGTTAGTGCCACATGTGTCCTGCGTGGAAGGGCACGATACGCTCGGTTGCTCACCTTATTAGGTATGGACATATCGTGGTGATGCATCTGAAATTCTGCTTAATCGCTAGCATCAGGACATGTATATATTCGAGCTAACACAGCCGCGGCTATGTGGAGTCGCTTTGTGGCTCCCACATTGTTCAGCGGTTTAACGTTTTTCTTCTTTTTTTTGCCCTGGTCGAATTGCACAGAGAGATGTGAGTGTCTGTGGGATGCACGCAGCCGTGAACTTATCAGGAGTGGAAAGTAGCGCGTTACTGGTGGTCCATGTATCTCTCCTCTCCCGGTTTGTTGAGTGACAGTCCCTCTGTTGTTTTGGACTGTTTCGGGGAATTGAGCCACAGTTACACTCGACACATTCTCTTGTTTCACTAAAACTATGCGGTCGTTGGCACTTCAAAGTCAGCATCAAGGGCCCGCTAGTCCCTCGGTGCATTCTGTCTCTTAATACCTCTGCACACGTGTCAGCCAACTGCTCTGTTATTATAGGGAGGGCGTCGCTGCATGATCCAAGTGTAACACTGCTCATCTCATTGTGTGATTAGGTAGGTCAGGAGGGGTCTGAAGGCATTAAGGTGGACTTTTCGAGTGAGTTTCACCTATGTTTACACTGTGTGAGGTTCATATGTAAAACCCACTGGTCAGGATTTGCTTTACATGGCAGACATGCTGTTGCATTTTCATGAGGTAGACTTGTAGGTGGTGGAATGCTCAGGGAAGCCTTTGTACATTGAGCAACCGATATTAAATCAGTTACCTTTTATGTAGCAATCGATTCCAAGGTTTGACATTTTTCAGACATGCCAAAAGATTGTTGTATTAAAGGGACATTTCTTAAAGACTGTAACTGCACCATGCTTTTTTCTTTTTTACAGTTGCTGACACAAATGTGTATTCCATCATAATCAAAAATAGCATGAAGGCAAACTGAATGTATTCCTAATATAACATGTCACTACTCTTGCCTGCTAGTCCTACATCTGTTGGGATGCTATATATGTGATGCACATGAGCCAACAGAAAGCTCTCTCTGTGACCCTGGGATGCTTAGGTGAGACAGCCATATGGTAACACTGTTCGTGACTGATTATTTATATCTCAGTAACTGAGTGTGAGTACGTGTTGGAATCTAGGTAGCAGAAGGGCTCATTAAAAAAATCTACAGGGAGGTCTCGCCTATATAGGTGTGAGGGCAGAGTTTATCCATCAAACAAATAATATTGCACCTTTTTATCACAATTGGACACCTTTCTACTTACTAAGTCTACGCAAGGATGCTGACTCTCTTTGTCATGTTTTAAATGTCACATTGCCTATTACATACACAGACAACCGGACACAGATTACTTACCCGTAGTTGCCCATTTTCGATGCCGGGGGGGGGGGGGGGGACACTGGTCTCTAAACAAAATTCATGGTCAGATGAAAGGAAACCCATTTCCACATCTGGCCACAGATGCAGCACCATGCTTCATGATGTGTGGAGATGTTGTGTATTTATATAGTGCTACAGTGTTTCAAAGTACTCCACATATTTTGCATTTTCTAGCAGTAATGATTTTAATAGGTTTTTCCAAACTTTAAACAATATAATTACAATTTCCCTTGTTGGTTAGGTTTCCCAGAAATAGAAGGATGCACAGAAAATCTGTATTTTGAGATTTAAACAGGCATTCTTTAGAGTTTCAAATGGTTATTGACTGTTTGTATACCACAGATCTGTTAACCAATAAAGGTGCTGTGATATTATTTGCCCCCTGCACCTTTGAACAGTCACCCAGAGAAAACCTCTCAGTCCACGGTATTACATGGGTAAGCCGTAATTTTTCTCTAATGCACTCACACATTCACTCATTGATTGAGGCATTGTTGGCAACAAAGGGTTCTATGTCTTTCCTACTTTGACATGTGGTCCAAGGAAACCAGGCATCAAACAACAACCTTCCAACTTGCTGACAACTGTTCTTCCCCCTGAATTACAGCTGTCTCAACTTTCTACTCGCAGTGTACGTTGAATGCAGTATTACTCTGCACCAAAAAGAAGGAGAGAGGAGGCGGTAGGTTTGAAATGCTGTGTAACCACGTAGAACATCTTAAATTACACACTGAAATGCCATCATAACAGAACCATCTGGTAGTTATTTACAGTGCATTTCAGTGCCAGTTTGAATCCCTAAAAGATTTTTACTGCCTCTCAGTTTCTGACTTTTATTGGTGGAGGTCATTTTTTAACTGGTTAACTCGAAAAAATGATCATGTTTTCCAACATTAAGAAATCGGAATGAGAAGAATGCGTGTTGTTTTCATGGTGACCAAACAGCATTTGTGAACAACAGTTTTGAAAAGGAGGAACATAAAATATAGAAGGTGCTTGTTTGAGTGTAGATCGTTACCACAAAAAACACTTAACATATCTGAGAACTCTGAAATCTAAGTAACAAATGCAGCATGAGGAATGATTTCTCTCAATTTGCAAGTTTGCTCCTTTACTCTATATAATGGGCTGTGGTAGTAAACTTTCATCTTTACTTGAATTGTCTCAGGAAGACATTTGGAATCCATCCATCCATTGTTAATACCACTTATTCCTAGTGGGGTCGCAGGGAGGGATGGATCTGTCCCTGCTGACATTGGGCAGAGGCAGGTTGCACCCTGAAAAGGTCAGAATTTCCCCGTCTGTTTGACTCCAATCAGCAGTGGTGAGATTATGAAGGTAAGAAATCCAAATTTGAGGAGATTAAAGTTTCAAAGGATAAGGTAGAGCCGAGGTTACTGGAAGGTTCCGTGAATTTGGCCTAACCATCCTCACAACGTCAAGTCCATTAAGCTCTCGGAAGGGGGTGGGGACATTAAGGTGGAGCTGTGGAGACCCAGATTGTCAGTGAGGCCCAGCTCTAAACTTTGAGTATGGAGCTCTAACGCTTTTTGGTCAGGATTCAGTCTAACATCTGCACATTATGGTGTAAGATAGCATTATTAGATGATACCCCACGATTACCTCTGTTAATGATTAATGTCCTATTAGGCAAGTAGTTTAGAATTTGTTTACTGTGCTGTCAGTGAATGATCTTACAGAAATGAAATCATGCTTCATGTTTTGTAAAAAATGATAATTTTAAACTCAAAGATTAAAAGCAAAACCCAATATATTTGGACCTGTTGTCAAAGCCATCTGTACAGGACCTTGTCTTAAAATATTCTTCTCTGGTTGTTTCATAATGGTTATTCACTAACATATGGAACAAATCATCCCCAGTCCAACAGAAACAGTTTTTGAATTAAGTAAGAATAGCTGAAAAAAATAATCATCGACGTAGACTTCTGGGAATTATTGACTGGGGTAAGTTTTGTCAGGGTAGAGCAACACTTTTCTGCTGACTGAATTTCCCTAATCCAACCCGATCCCTCTGGGTGGGAGTGCAGACCCAGGCCTGAAATAGTCTTTTGGTTCTTGGAAAAGAGGCTCTGGGGCGTTAAGTTCTGGGTAGTTTCAAAATGCAGTTTCAATTCACAGCTCGGCAAAAGGTTATCTATTGTCTCACTGCATATATGTTTTTGTTTTTAAGGAACTGCAGACTGTAAGAGCTAATATTTTAGGTTTGAAGAAATATAAACACGGTAATCAGCCATTGCTAGAAAAATGATGTTGGCGTCAACAGTCAAAGTGCATTTCTTTGTGAGTGAGTGCACTAAGTAGCTCCTTTTGTCTGTGATATAGCTGAGCTGTATTGCTTTGTGTTTGAAAGTGTAATTAAAGCAGCCATCCTTTGGCACTGGGAGGAATTCTTAGGCTGCCCATTTCTGTTATTTGCATCTACATATTGCAGACTTGTATTGTCTATTCATCTATCATCCCACATCTTAGCCTCAAACCAGCTGCCAGCACCAGAAGTGGACTGGTGCCCGTGCCATTTGGCAGACCCTCTAAAGCTCTGGTAATGCGAGCCCTGCATAGCTATACGATGATGTAATTGAATTGTTCTCGGTGCCGGTCAATGTCAGACCCCTGCCTGGCCCAGAAATGTGTTACAGTTGTAGCCTACTTTTTTACATAGTTAATATTGTTTTTTTTATTATTATTATTATCTTTGCCTAAAAAAACTCCCTATATTTATCTTATATAAAGTAAATTGACCCCATTGCCAAATCAATTCAAGTAATTCCCTCAGTGTTTATTCCTACTTTACATTCTAAAAAAATGTGGTCCTTCATTAAGATGGCACGTGTTGGATCACAGGCGTTGCCCTGCAGGGAAGTCGATTGACCCAAATCAAGCTTAACAATAACCTCAAAATATTTCTGACTTGGGACAAGTTTTGATAGAAAGTTGATAGTTTTGTAGCAATAGAAATTATTCTAAACAGTTTAATCTGGAATTTAGTTTTCTACACTGATCTATATGCGTTTGGTAAATGTGTTCTAAGCCAAACTGTCAGATATGAAGGCATTAAGCTAGACCACATGTTTTGCTGTCCTTTAACTTTTTCTTTTTTTTCTTCTTTTTTTTTAGCCCATAAAAAAGCTTAGTCAGTGACATGAACATCAGCCCTCTTATTTTCCTTATGAAATCCCCACTGGCACAGGCTAGTGCAAAGTGTGTAAACAGAGACTGTTTCCCCTAGTGCTCGCTCCCCGGGCGGGGCTCATAAATGCATTCAAAATGCTCTGCAGTCCAAACTTTGCATTTGCTCAGGACGGTCATGTGACAGATCAGCAGCGTGCTTCTGAGTGTCCGCTGCTCTGATTGTCAGTAGCTGATGCATTAATATAGTAGCAATCATAGCAAATGCATTCTTAAGCATCATTGTTTTTGCACCAATACTGGGGACATTTTTTCTCTTTGAATTTTTTTTCTCCCTGTAAAGGATTTTGACTTTCTCTGTGTTATCGGTTTGCTTTGGGGGTGGCTGTGGCTCAGGGATAAGAGCAGTCACCTGCCAATAGGCGCGTCGGCTCCCCCCCCCCCAGTTGCTTGTAGAGCATCCTCAAATGTGGGGCTGCCCGGAAGCTGAAAACCTCAGCAGCGATCTCCGAACGTGGCACAAATAATTAGAATGTAGTTAGCATTTTATGGTAAGCAGGCATGAACTGAGGCATGGTTTTAGAGCTATGTGCCTAAAAAGATAGAAAAGACTGATTATTCATTTGCAAGATCCATACAGAATGCATCCTCATAGCAGGAAAGATCTGAAGAAAGACTTTTCAGTAATTACAAGGATGAGAGTATGAAATTAACTTTACATTCTCCATGGACAGTAAAATCCCAATTAGCAGATCAGATCTGTGTGGAATGGTGCCTGCATTAAGGTCTGAAAACAGATCTGAGAATAACTGAAACTAAAATAAATGTTGAGTTGATTAGGTATTAAGTTTATATTTCTGCACAGTGGTTGACACAGTTTGATCAGTTAGCACACATCATCCCCTATGACTGCCCCCCCCCCCACGACGACCCATCTTCACAAATATTTATCATGCATTTACCTCCTTATTATAAATGTAGAATTGTGTCCCGTCTCTGTAGTTACACATGTTGCATAATTCCGTGAACAATGACTACATTTGTTCACATGAATGTTGCTTTAGCTCACACATGGGGGGGCAGGTTTTAGCACTCATACATTACACTGGCACACAATTCCAGTATGAAAAGGGTTTTAGTTGAGGACTGAGGTCACGTCGGGCAGCCAGTCAGTCTCTAATGCATCCTGCAACAAAGACTCACTTTCTTCACACCATGAACAACAGACAGAGAAGGAGGGGGAGAGGGAGGATCACACTTTGCTGCGTCTTCCAAGATCGCATTCAAGTTTGTTTGAGCTGTTGCCCAAAAAGGAATTCTGGACTTTTTCTTAAACATTGTGTTAAAAAAAAAATACTGCGCTGTTCTATTTGGTTTCATTCAGTGAAATGATTACTGTCATGCCTCCACCTTGTACACACTTTGATGTCAACTGTTTCATTCAGTCCCCTTTCAGCTTCTCTTTCTCAGTTTTGTGGTAAACTTGAGCCTTGCGTAGTTCCTTGCGTGAACTCCGTGTTGTTGTCGCACCCTCAACAGCACTGCTGCCGTCACACAAGTGCGAGATCGTGTGTCCCGCCGGCTTCACGGTTCCGCTGGAGCCGAGTGTCGGATAACTACTACGCATGCTGCGTGCTGCCGGCGCACAGCTGACAGATCCATGTCAGGCTGTTGATAGGTGGCTGTTTCTTAGCAACTAGACTACCTGCTGATGTGTTTATCTGCTGTCAAATGTGGTTTATTCCTGTGTTGCCGCAGCGGATGAGGAGTTGTGCGGGGAATCATGTTACCAACAAATCTCATGATGTCTCGATGGGTTTGATTGCATCAAACCTCCTCGGTTGCTGAACCCGTTTTTTTTTTTTTTTCTAAAGATGCGATGAATTTTCTATTCCAGGATCACTTTATCTTGTTTGGTCTTTTTTTTTACACTTTTTAATTCTTATCACTAAGATTGCATTAGTGGAAGTGAAATCATCTGTTGACTTCAGGCTGTAACAGGATCTGACTAATGCTCCTTTAAAGGTCTTGTGTTCATCCTGGTAGGTTGGTGCGTAAATGGGGATTTAATGTTGACACCAGTATCTGCAGCCTGGCTTGACTGAGGTCGTTTCAGTTGAGTTTTTCTTACCACAGTCAACTCTGCCATGAGGGTTTTCCTTTTAGCTCCTTTTAGACCTCTATGTCTTCTACCTACACAGTGCTGCGAGAGGTCTGTTTTTCAGAAACTAACGTACCTTCTCCCGCTCACCCTTTATGGCAGAGTCGGTATATGACCTCCTCCCCAAAGAGCTCCAGCTCCAGCCGTCGTCCACCCAGACTGACCCACCCGCCATGAGCCAGAAGAGTGGGGGAGAGGCGGGACCTCCCCCTTCTGCAGCCCTGGCTTCAGGTGAGCTACACGCTCAGCCTATGAAAACCATGATCTGGGATCAGTTTCTCTGTAATTAAATTGTTCCCCATGTCAGCAGGGGCAACAAAAAAACTAAACAAAATATATATGGTGTCTGGGGGCAACTTCACCCTTTCATTAGTGGCAAGATTTGTGACTTATGGCATTGCATAGATGGTTTAATATTTGCATGTTGAGACCACCAGCATGAGAATAAATGGTTTTGATATTTCACATGGGTATACAAGACCCTCCCACCAAGGCACTGTACGAGGAATTTGTATGTTTTGTTTTTTGTTTTAGAAGTAATGAACAATTAAACAGCTGGAATTGAGCGTCATTTGAATTTTAACATTATTAGAATCTCATGTCTGAGATGCCCTCTTGCCATCAAATAGGGTATTTAATTTTTCTTCCCCTTTTTTTCCTTTCCATTGACACATCCACTAAAACTTACAGATAGAATCGTTTTGCATCTGGTGACTTCCTCCCAGAGCACAAGGATAACCACATGAGGGGATGGCATAATGGGGCATTCCACAGGTTGTGTTGATCCATAACTCTTCAGTGTTTTAGGCCTGTATAAATGTAAACGGGCCTCTGGGCGTCAGCCCGCACTGCAGGACAGGAGAGCGAACTCCCAGCTGTCTTAGCTGTGGATGGTAAATTGATCAATGTCTGAAATGATCTGCTCTTTCATGGCACTCGTGTAAGCTTCAGTAGTTGTTAGAAAGCTCTTTCCATGCACTGCTCGTTCACAAAGACACCACCCACCATCACTAGGTGTTCTTCTCAAGCCTGACACTGTTTGACACGCAGACCAAACGGAAGCAAAGTTTCTGTTTCACTACCTCCATGTTCAATGGATAATGGTACTCAGGGTTCATTAAAAAAACAAAAAAACAAGTGAGCTGTTCCCACATAAAAAGAACCTCCTTGTTGCATTCCCATCCGTGATGTGTGGACACAGGCGAGCACAGGTGCACTGCTACTGCAGGCGTTTGGGGAAGGACTGAATTAGTTGAAACCTATGCTCCATATAAGTTGTAGAAGTCACCATAACATCAGACATTGATGTGACTGAGATGTTTGTGTGCCACCTTTAACTTTTGTCTGCAGATTTGCCATTGAGATACAAATCTTTGCTGCTTTACGAGTTATACCCAGCTTTCAAAAACAGTTCTGGTGCAGTGTGAGAGTGCTTAACATACAAAGGACTGGGATTCACCATGAGATTAAAAGATCAAAACTAATAGAGAGTCCTAACACAAAAGCTGCAGTCTAACGTTGTGGACATTTTGGCCTGCATGCAAAAGGTCAGACCAGTCGCTGTTTTTTTGTTTTGTTTAGTTTTTTTAAGGTGCCATCCATATGGTTGTAGGGACTTATTTATCTTATCTGGTGAAGTTCCTGTTTGACAGACTGTCAGCTGACTTGTTTTCTCTGATAAAGGCCGTGCCCTCCTTTAGTCTGTTTCCATTCTTTATGGCTCTGTAAAACAAAGCAAACATTCACGTAGGAAGTAATTAAATAAGCTCCTGCAGCTTGTCCACTAATTTGATTATTAAAAATAAGCAGTTCTTTTTCTAAAGCCGATTAACAAAACCAAGAACCACCGCAATGTTTATCAAATCTTTTTTAACAGATTTCTAGGCTCGGTCTTACCTGTAACTAACCCGTAGTTAATGAAGTGACATAACTATTAATTTACTGTCACTAGACGCCTCAAGAAATGCTCTTTTTTTCTCATTTTACAGCATGCTGACGTATTGGATAGCTCCTTATTTTCATTCACTACTTCCAGCTGCTATTTTGGTGCTTGTGCTTAATGTTTTTTGACACCTGGCTTCTTCAGCTAATTTTAGAGTGATCCTGCTCTGGAGATGCTGTGTAACCAGTACTGCTGATCTGGAGTCTGTGCTGTTGCTTAAGCAGACATCTCAGCAATTCCTTTTTTCTTTTTTATGACCTTTAATTTAGCTCCAGAGTCTTTGTAATGCATTTTGGATCAGTAATTTTACCCTGTATGACACACTTCTCGATTCAAATAACACCTCTGCAATCTTTTTTTAGTTGCAGCATCTCTCTGACGGTGTCAGTAAACCTGAACATGATGATTGAATGGTGTAATACCTGAACCGGAAATGTGGGGGAAAAGGCTAAATGTACATTTATGTTGCACTTATTAACACCTGGTCCAGTATTCATTCATTCATAAAACAGTAGGTCGCCTTTGCAGCTAGAGGACTGATAAAAAAGTTTCCGAACGGCTTACATTTCTGAAAATTCCATCTCTTTAATGAAACTGTGAAGTTGCCCCATAGCGGTCACTCCACTGACTTGTAAAAAAATATCATTTAGCAGACGAAACTGAATATGGTCTGATCTTAGATCATGGTTTAGGGCAGCCAACCTCAGCTTTATCTGTGAGGGATTCTCTTCTCTTGTTCAATCTAAAGAGCAAACTAACTGGTCAGCAGTCGTGTTGGAGGGAGCGCTTTTATTAACGCTACCTTTTTACCGTGCGACCCAGCTGGCCCTAAACAATGCTGATCAAAAGCATGACCATTACAATGTCCTTCAGATTCTCATCATCCAAATACACATGCTTTGAAGTGTCTATAGATGATAAACTTCAAAAGTTACTCCTTCCTTCAGTATATTAAGTCATCCAATTCACTGATTGACAGAAGTTGAGTCTTGAATGATCAGCTCTCTTGTTGCTCATTGGCTGTCTCGTTTTTATTGCAGGAAGTTCCCTCTGAGGCAGGGAGTGTCTGCATATAAAATGGTCTGCAGTTCACTGCTCCATAGGTCAGAGGCTTGTTTATTCTGTCTCCATGGCTACGCTCAGTCCCAACCAAATCTTCCAATTGGCATGCGCAAACTACTGTTTTCTACTGAATGCACATTGCACAAACTGTAATGTAACCCTGGCAAATTTAATTGGCGCCACATTATCAGCTTGCAAATTTGGCTGTACAAGAAAGTTTGACCAGATTTTGTTATGTTTCTTTCTGGCAATGTGTATGTAACAATTTGTAGCTTGCTTTTGTTTTTGTAAACAAAGCATGTCAGTTTTGTCACATTGATTTTAATTGAGAGGTTTTGTAGGAATCAAACAATTATGGGACCTATAGTACCCTTCTCAACTTTAACTTCAGCTTATTTGATCAATGCTTGACAGCTCTCGCATGCACAGTGAGAGCATATAACCCACAACAGTCTTTTGAAATTAGAGTTGGGAAGAGGGGAAATCAATACAAATCATGCACAAATTCAGCTGCTTGAATGGGACTGCTAGCCTGCTCTGTGCCGAACACCTGTCCTAACTTCTTCTGTGTGTACTACAACAGATGCCACCTCTTCCACCTCGAGCCCTTCTGCCTCCTCTTCAGTATCCATGGGAGCTCCATCCAGCGGCCCCTCTACCTCGTCCTCAGACCATCTCACGGTTGCCCAGCATCTCCACCCCACAGGAGGGGATGGAGCTGGAGCTTCAGAGATACAAGGTATGGAGGCTGCCGGATCTGCCCCCAGCAGAGGCAACAGCGGAGGGAGCGCGGCCCCGGCGGACGGAGGGTCAGCAGCGCTGTCGGGGCTAGGTGTGCAGCAGCCTCAGAACACCCCATCCAAACGAAGGCCGGTGCTTAGCATATCTCCACCTCCCGAGGACCTGTTCGACGACAGCCAGATGTCCTGTCAAGACGAGCCGGCGGTGTCCGGGGCGCCAGGCGCGGACTCGGAGCACAGCAGCAGCATGTGGGCAGACGACTCCGTCTCAAACTTCAGCTTAATCAGCTCCATATCCTACAACGACAACACAGAGGTGCCACGCAAGTCTCGAAAGCGCACCCCACGCCAGCGTCCCGGCCCCAAGGCAGCTCCTCCAGAAGACAGCATGGATGTGTTTGACGCTGACAGTGCCAAGGGTCCTCATTTTGTCCTGTCCCAGCTGGGCACCGACAAGACCGGTCCCATGGCCAGGTGGGGTGACCTTTGTCCAAAGCCTACTCTTTCAGTCAGAGGAACTCTGTAGGAGTAGAATAAAAGTAGTTTTGGTGCATGTGTTCGTCTAGGGTCATTTGACTTTGGATATTCTAACATAATTGTTGATTTTTGTGGCTCTACAGCTCTCTCGAGTCAGGGACTGCTGTGAGAGGTGGGTCATTGTCTGCTCAGTTCCCCCAGAGGAGCGACGGAAAGGAGCTGAAGATCCTGGTGCAGCCAGAAACCCAACACAGAGCCCGCTATCTAACCGAGGGCAGCAGAGGTTCTGTTAAGGATCGGACCCAACAGGGATTCCCTACTGTCAAGGTTTGACTGCGACAGCCCAAAGCTACTGACTAAAAAATGAAACAATACAGTAGTAACCACTTCTAGTACTACCTAAAAGCATTATGTTAGAATTACTAATTACATTCATGAGCACACCATAAAATAAACAAAACAAACAAACCTACATATCCGTCTGTCACGTATTTATGTGTACATATGTGCATATATCTAAACATGACATGTAATACACCTTTTCTTTTTTTATTCTTTTTCTTTTTTTTTCTCTTTTTTTTAGTTGGAAGGTATTAGTGAAGCAGTTATGCTGCAGGTGTTTGTAGCAAATGATGCAGGCCGAGTGAAGCCCCATGGATTCTACCAGGCGTGCAGAGTGACGGGACGCAACACCACTGCCTGCAAGGAGGTGGACATAGAGGGCACCACGGTTATAGAGATCCCTCTGGAGCCGAGCAACGACATGATACTCGCGTAAGGATGGGGCTTTATTCTTTTAATGATGGATCTGTAAGATTAGTTAATACCTACAGTGTTGACATCTTAAAAAACACATGACGCTTATTTCGAATTCCTCCTCTGGTTTTTTCAGGGTGGACTGTGTGGGAATTTTGAAGCTGCGTAATGCAGATGTTGAAGCCCGTATTGGTGTGGCCGGATCCAAGAAGAAGAGTACACGTGCTAGGCTGGCCTTCAGGGTCAACATCCCCCAACCCGACGGATCCATGCTTACTCTGCAGGTCCCCTCCTCACCCATCCTCTGCAGTGAGTCATGCAAACACAGCCTTTACCCCCAAAAAAGCATTGGCTCAGTGGCAGAGTTAGGTTAGATTGTGTCTTAAGTGATTTGGGTCTGTAGTTTTGTCATTTTTTAATTAGAAAGAATTCAGTATGAGGGACAGAGAACTTCTAGCTAGGCCGTTCATGTGTGGTGAGTTTTCATTTTTTCACTCCATCCAGCCCAGCCAGCCGGGGTGCCCGAAATCCTGAAGAAAAGCCTCCACGGCTGCTCGGTGAGGGGAGGAGAGGAGGTCTTTATCATCGGAAAGAACTTCCTCAAAGGAACCAAAGTTGTTTTTCAGGAGAACATTGCAGGTGCCGTGTACAGCTTAGTTTTGTCTGTGTTTCCCAGATTTGTGTGGCTAATAAATATTAACTTGCAACAGATGGAAAAATAACAGTCTTGTTTTTTACTTTGTAGATGATAGTTCCTGGCAAGCTGAGGCAAAGATTGACATGGACCTTTTCCATCAGGTACTCCTAAGGTGTTTTTCTCGAGCGACACAGGCTGCTCTATTAGACCCTCCGTTTGTTAACTTTTTTCCTAATTTTGTTTTGCAGAATCATTTGATTGTGACAGTCCCTCCATTCCACAACCAGTCAATCACCTCTCCTGTGTCTGTGGGAATTTTTGTGATGACCAATGCTGGTAGATCACATGATGCCCAGACCTTCACCTATACTCCTGACACAGGTACAGCAGAAAGAGACAAAGTTGCCATGTTTGTTGCTTTTTTTTTTCTCTTGTATCTCGATACACCCTTTAAGTCCTGACATGGATACAAAAAGGATTCATGAAGTTTTGGCTGAAGGTGTCAGTATTACCGAAATAGCAATACCGACCAGAACGTTTCTATGGACCGGGTCAGAGGCTGATTCATGTGTTACTTACAGTTCGCTTCCATTGTTGTTAGCAGGGTGGAATTACAAAGAGGAGCACAGACGTGCTCAGATGCAGGAGGGTAGGCTGTGTGTATGTGGAGGTCATTTAGAAAACAGCACCTGAGACAGCTGACATTTACCCGAGGTGTGCATCAGCCAAGCATATTTGACAGAGCAGCTGTTTTTTTTCAGATCAAGTTTTCCCAAATGTGTTTCCATCTGGGTATTTGTTTAAAAAAAGCAAAATAAAACGGCCTGCAAAGTGTGTAGAAATAGTTTGGTTCATTTAATAATAAATCTGTTTTTGAGTGAGGAAGATTAGAGAAAACTTAGATTTAAACCTGATAAGCATTAATTCTGCTGAAGCATGTGATCTGAGACTGAGATACAATTTCAGCAGCAAGCTGAAAAGACCAAATATGTCTCTCAAATGACCCAGGTGATAAAAAGATGCATTAATGTGTGAACCTGCAGTAAAGTGTGACAAAGTATTCGTGAGGAAGCTTGTGATGGCTTTAACGATACTATGTAGCAGAATTTCTTTCTGGTGGTGAAACATTTGGTATTGTTAAACTCCAGGTCAAACCTACATCAGAACACCAGACCCTTTGAAACATGGCAACTGTGTACCTTACACATCTTAAAATAGAACAGCAAGCTCACATCTAGCTGCTGCCTGTGAGTGATCAAACAGCTGATAGATTAGTCAGATTAAAAATAGCATTTTGTTGGCAGCTGGCCATGGTGCAAACAGAATAATACCCCCTGTGTTTGTATGTGTGCATGGACAAACCAGGTAGCTCGCGCCTCTCACATCTGTCAGTACAGTTATGTAACGAACAGCTTGCCTAGTATTGTCCCTCTTATCAAGACTACCTCTCACAGATTAAGAGCTGTCTTTTGTTCCCAATCTTTTCCCCAGCGGATAATTCAAATATCCAGACAGTCAAAACAGAAGGACCATCCCTGGTCAAGACCTGTATATTTGATGAACAGATCAAATCCATGTCCTCTGAGCAAAACGACTGCTCAGACCAACCATCCAAACGGCAAGAGGACACGCCTATGGAGGTGTCGAGTAATCCACAACCCGCAGATGTCTTCAAAGTAATATTGGCTTTTCCCACACAAATAAATCTTATCTACACTAGAAATCTGTTTGGTAACCATTCTGATCTCCTCTTTCCCCAGACGTCCCCTGACCCTCTCATTTCGGTGCAGCAGACCCTGGACCTTAGCTCAAGTCCACATCCTGGTGGGGACTCCTTTCAGAGCCCAATGCCCTTACAGCCTGAAGATGTGGAGCTTCCCCAGGCTCCCCCTGTGTTCCCTAGCCTCGAGTCTCTCAGCACGATACAAAAGCAAGACATGTCCTCCCCGACCTCCTTTCCGGTTTCCGGAGACACAACAATTCCCCCAGTCACCCCAGAGGTCCCTCAGCAGTTCCTCAGAGACCCTCAGGAAAGCCTGTCTCCTGAAAGCTCTGACAATACAGGAAGGCTCGTGGTCGTGGCCATGCCTCAGATCGCAGCTCCTTCTCCACCCCAGCCACAACAGTCCCAGGTAACCCTGTTTCCCCAGGAGGGTGTGGCCCAACTGGAGAGGGCGGTGAGAGAGCTCCAGGCCGGAGGTAACACCACCCTCCAGCAGGTGCTGGAGGCGGCTGTGGCCCAGCAGCAGCTCAACTCTGTGCTCTACAGCCCCACCCCGTCTGCGGACTCCCTACAGCAGCACGTCCAGGAGAACATGAACAGCCTGAGGTTGGGAACCGCGGACAGTTCGCTGTCGGCGCAGCAGCAGCTGCAGATCCAACAGCAGCAGCAGCAGCAGCAGATGGAGCAGCAGTTCCAGCAGCATCAGCAGCTGCAGCAGCAGCAGCAGCAGATCCTGGAGAACCTCCAGCAGCAGCAGCAGCAGCAACAGGTCCTCAACAACATCCAGATCCAACAGCAGCTCATCCTACAGCCACAAGACCAACAGCAACTACAGCAGCAGCAAATCATGGAGAACCTTCAGCAGCAGCAACAGCAGCTCCAGCAAAATCAGCAAGTGCTCAGTAACATCCGGCTGCAGGATCAACAGCAGCAGAATCAAATTCTGACCAACTTACAGCAACACCAGCTGCAGCAGCAGCAGCAGCAACAGCAGCAAAACCAGGCGCTCAGCAACCTGCAACAGCAACAACTGCAAGAGCAGCAGGTCCTGGAGAATCTGCAGCAACGCCTGCAGGCCGAGCTGCTCCAGCCCCAGATCCACTCGGCCCCCCAGGCCCAGCCGCCGGTCACCCTCCTGCAGCAGGCCGGGGAGCTGCTGACCATCCAGACCAGCTTCCCCACGCAGCCTCCGTCCCACACCTCCCCCCCACAGCAGCTCTTCCAGTCCCCGACGCCACTGGCCGAGACCCAGAGCTCCCAGCAGCAGGTCCAGGCGGCCCTGCTCCAGAACACGCTGACCGTCCTGACCAGCAGCGGTCTGGGGTCGGATCAGCAGTCCACCGGGTCGGCCCTGTATCTGTCCCCCAACCCTCAGCCCCCGCCGCCCCAGCAGCAGCAGCAGCAGCTGGCATTCATCTCCTCCATGGAGACGTCGTCCAACCAGCCCCAGTCCGTTTCCATGTTCCAGAACCAGCCCCCCGGTCAGCTCTCCCAGATGCAGCAGCAAAGCACCCCCATGGAGCAGCAGCAGTCCCCCCAGCAGAGCCAGCAGCAGCCGCCCCAGATCCCCATGGCCCAGCAGGGGTCCTTGTTCCAAGCTATCCCCAACCATTCACAGGGGAACCCCGTTCCCCAGACCCAAATCTCCCAAACCCAACAAACGGGCCTGCTTCTCTGCACCACCGACCTGAACCCGCAAGCTATTCTGTTCAGCACGCAGGGCCAAGGCAACCCACCCATCGCAGCCATCGGCGTTGGAATCTCTCCGGCAGACCCGGCAGAGCCCATGTCCTTCCAAGATCAGAGCTCCTCGGGAGGCAACTCGGCGCCCCCCGAGAGCCGACAGCAAAGCCTCTTCCAGGAGCAGCAGCCAATGCAAGTGACCCCCAGCTCCGGCCAGGTCCCAGGAGCTCAGCCCGTGAAGCTGTTCATCCCACAGACCTCTCTGTCCAGCCTGCAGGGCACCGTGGGCTCCCAGGAGCTCAGCAACCAGGCGCCAGCCCCGGCTGCTACCATCTTTGTGGTCCAGGGGGGTGTGGGTGTGGTTGCCAGCCCTGGTCAGCAGCCCCCGGAGCAGCTTTTCCAGACAACCGTGGGGGGGAATGTGGCTCCACAGGGGCAGGCCAACCTCTTCGTCTTTGGTATCCAGAACGGTAAGAAGATTTCACTCTTGTTTCCTTCGAAAGTAAGGAGCAACATGGTATTATTTCGGTGCATTTTAATGACAGAAAACGATGCCTTGTCTCCTCCCAGACTCATCCCAGCTGCTCAGCTCGTCCGGCCCCCCTCTGCCAGCCCAGAGCCAGGCCCAGGGCTCGGGACACCTGCAGCCCCTGCTGGATCAGCCCTCCACCATGCACAGCAACCTCCAGAACAGCCTTCAGGCCCAAATGCAGAGCAGCCTGGAGAACGCCATGCAGTCCAACCCCACAGCCGGCCTGCAGGCCTCCATCGAACCCAACCTGCCCATGCAGAGCGGCCTGCAGATGCAGAGCAGCCTGCAGAGTCAGCTGCAGGCCTCCATATCTGCCTCCTCCAGCATGGATAAGATCGAGGACCTTCTGGAAAGCCTGCAGAAGCAGTGAGAAACGTCTGGACCATGTTGGCTCTGAGGAGAGTGAGTGATCTGTTGCTGAAAGTTGCCCTCCCCGAAATCAACTGATGGGTGGCGTGTTGGTTTTTTGCACCGACGCCAAAAAACTTAGAAGGTCTCAATTATTTAAGAATGACACGCTCTTTTACTGAAACTCCAAATTATGAGCTCATCAGGCAATGTTTTGTAAGATATTGATCATGAATTCATTCTAACTTCCACCCTTTGTTCCTGAAGTGACGAGCCCCCCTTTGTTATCAACCTCTTGCAGGATCAGAGAGGCCCTGAATAACTGCTTTATCCGTTGCTCTCCTAAATGCAGTGTTTTGTTGTTAGCGTTTTTAATAAAGTGGGCCGGTGTGAGGATGACAGTGAAAACCTACCAGCTCTTGTGGAGAAACTGGAAAGGGATGAAGAATGTCAGCAGCAGGGAAGCCGATGCAGTGTAGTTTCTAAGAGCGGACCGAGTAGATGAAGCAGCCGCTTAGTGAGTGAAGATGGCATTGCACAGGAGTGTAGATAGAGGCTGAATCTCATTTTGGGGGTGTGTAAACGGGAGGCTTTCGCTCCAGCTTTAAGGCCGAGGCTGCGAGTGGCAGAATGCGGAGTGAGCGTTTAAGGCGGAGATGACCTGGCATCGGAGTTTCTTTTGCCATGGAAACGATTCCCATTTTTGCAACTAATCAAACCTTGCGTTTGCATGTCAACAGCTTCAGTAGAATCTACTCTAAGAGTACAGATGACTAAAATATACAATTCTTTGTAGAAGAATGTAGGCGTGTTTTGTGGAATATCTGCCGGTGTGGATGGAGTCTGCCATGCAGTCTTCCTCAGAGGGAGGCTGGCTAAATGATGCCTGTGGGCTCCATTCCACCCAAATGAAATGCAAACAGCCTGTGGTTGCTGAATGAAGTGGGGGGGGGGGGGGTCTTACACACTCACAAATGAGATTTAACCTGCTGGAAAATGTGACTTGGCCTTTGCTACAGCACCCAGTGTTTCCGCCCTCAGGCCTCATCACTGGGTAAGCTGAAGCTTTTGTTGATGAAATCTGAAGAGCGTTCATTTGTGTAGTGCATTAGTTTGATTTATTTTTTCTATTTTGGTAACCTTTACCAACTCGATGTGGATAGAAAGTTGTTTTTTTTTCCCCACCTCGTGAAAACGGAGTGTCGTGTGGTTTTATAAACATTTTATCTCAAGCACTTTATAACCTCTTTTGTGTAACCTGCTACTCCTTATATTCGTCCACTGCTCTGTAATGAACTAGGTGAATTTGTACTCAGAAACCGTCCGATTAAAATCCAGTGTGAGAAAAGAAGAAAAAAAAAGAAGCAGAAAACATTTTTCTTTGAAAAGCTAAATACGTCATTACCGAACATTTTTACATTTTATCATGTTCGAATATTTTTGATGTCTAGACTTTGTATAGAATGTCAGTTCACTGTTGAACATCCCCCCCTACCTTGTATTCAGTCTTGGTGGTGCATTCAAAGTCTGTCCAAAAACAGCCATTCCCACCAAAGCGTTGTCCTTTTCTCAGTTACTGAGTGTCGAGGGGACATTTGTTGGTTCCTGCACTGATGACACGTCTGAAATAATCATTCAGCTCCTCTGTGCGCGGTTCATTCAGCCCCCCCCCCCCCCCCGTTTCTGCCCAGCCCGTCGCCGGGGCTTTACCTTGTCTGTTGTCCTTTTGTCGTCGAAGTCGGCATCCGGCGCTCGTCCCTTTTGTTGGCAAGAGAGGCCCCCCTGTTGTGTCCATCCATGGTGCTATGTACAGGAGAGATGAGCTCCGCTCCACCAACAACACCGCCGTGTTGTTTTGGCAGCCACGCTCTGGCCCGCTGGCTCTTTGTTTTGGGGTCTGACTGGAGAGCACCTAGGCATACCAAAGCTCCTGTTGTGGCTCTGCCATCATGTCCCGCACCAGTCCCTGTAAAGCACCCTCATAATGTTTACTCATTTGTACTAAATTATGCAGCTGTCACAGGAATAATAGTTCAGCGTGTTGTTTTACAAGATTTCTAAAAAAAAAAGTGAAAAAACACATGTAAAGGTACTTTGTTTGACTGATCAGTTCATCGCATCGACATTTCCACTAATTTCAAGCTTCGTCGTTGGTTTTTTAATGCAAAGTGACAAGGCTGTACTTTCCATATCCTACAGTAGCCAACTTGGCATTATCAAAAAGTCCATGTTCGAAAAGAATTCACATTTTAGACTGGCACTGCTCATAAATGCATTTGTTTACATTTTCATAGTCATACTCCTGTCCTGCAGCTCTTAGTGATCCATTTTAATGTAACTTATCTTTTTTAGAATTTTGTACCCATGTATCAAAAGTGTAGAGTATTTTTGTAAAAACTAAGCTTTTTGGTTCATGCGCATAGCACAGAAAATATCATTGTTGGTGTGTTTTTGTTTATTTTCTGGAGATGAAGCGCAGGTATACTGTGAATTGTTGGACCGGAATGAGAAAGGTTTTCAAGCGGACATCGAAGCAAAACTCCTATTCTCTTATCTTGAATCTACCCAAACACAACACAATGCGCAATCTAGCCTTCTTGTGTGTTCATTTTTTTGTTTTTTTGTAACGTCATGCATCTCAAATGGCACTTTGACTCATCCATTTACTGTAGATCAGAGTGCAGTGATGTTTCCAAGCATTCCGTTCCTCTTGGTTAGGGGAAGACTTAGAGCACATAATGTTGAGGAAGAAGTACAGATCAGTTAATGCCTCTCAAAGCCATACCAACACAGAAAGCCAACCTGTGACTTCAGTTTCATGAATGTAAATTTTACCTCATGGTGTGGACACAGCTTGATCTACATCTGACGTTGGACCAATTACAGTTTTAGAGATCATATATCCTGAGGCAGACGGGGTGGGTAGGTGGCACCAGCTCTCATTTGTGTCTCTGTACGTTTGTCAACTCATTTTTAATCATGGATGTGGTCAACTTCATGTCAAGTTCACTCATTCATTTCAAGTGATCCGGTATGCTCAGTCTGACCTTTTGCCACTTCCACCTTGAGAGCAAAACAAACAAAAAAAACACCTTTGGTAACTATTGATTTTTAACGATGGCAAAGAGAGCACACAAACCTTTGCATAATATCATTTTTGTCCTTCAGTCGTGTAAATGAATATCCGTGTATATTTAAATGTGAAATATACTGCAGGGGTATCTTGAATTTCAGTTGTGATGCTTTCAACAGAACGTTGTGTGCCTTGATAACTTAACCGTTGCTCTGCTGTGTTTACTGGTGTCCCTTTTGTGTCATGGCTCCTTGTCATTTTTATCACCTTGGAATGCGGAACATCAGGACACTTTGCAAAAAAACTTTCATTAGACTCCACAACACAAGGAAAGGTCATACTGATACTCTCAACCCAGTGCAAGACATCAGTGATTACTGAACACATTGTGCAGCTTCACCAGTGAATTGCCATCTTGTTTGAAGTTTTCTATTGAAAAACAGTTTTAATGCCTCATGAGATTTGCACGTGAGGTCAAAAGGGACGAGGCAGTGGCGACTGTTTGATGGAGAAGTTTTCTTGTGTTGATGTGCTTATCAACATTAATGTTGCTGTGAAATGCTTGATCAAAAGGGGCAACCATGATGAATTAACTGTTATTTGCCAATAGTGTGAGCTGTTCTCTTGTGTGTAATCAGTTTGCTCACTTTTCCTAGTTCGCTTTTATTTCACATCCTTCAACAGCTCCGTTCTATCAATTTTGTGTAGCTTGAGCTTTAGCATCTAGCCTTAAAACCCTGCAGTAGGGATAAAGGTCAACCCCAGTGTGTTATACATCTGAACTATTATTAACATGTACTTTGCCTTTGTCTGGACATTTGTATACTCTTCTGTTTATATCTGTAATCCTGCTGCTACATTAAATGAATTAATAAAAGTGTAAATGTTTTGATGTGCTTTTTTCCACGAACAAGTGTTTCATGTGGTAGGGATGTAAAAACGTAGGATTACTTTAGAGTTGGGTATCATGTTTGTCTACATTTGACTGTAGATTTATTTTATTTGTTCATAGTTTACTCAGTCTTCTATGCAGAATTTGTTGGAAGTAGGGCAATGGATCATCCAAATCAAAATCAACATCAAACTCGGGCTTTTTCCTCAGAGCAAGGCTGGCCACCAGTATGGCCAGCATGGCAGTCAGCCCCCAAATATGGTACAGACTGCCTGAACCTGGGTCCACGAAATAAAAGGAGTGTAAAGGTCCCGTGGTTCCAGCGGCACCGTGGCTCAGATGGTGGTCTTTGTTACTGGTGAAGAAGTCCAGCGGGACAGTAAACACGGCACTGACCTCAGCCGGGTTGGGAACGGGACAGAAGCTCTCCTCTATGAAGCCAACTACCGGGGTGACCAGCAGGCCCGTCTGTGGAGGGAGACGCAAATGGAGAGGGGTTGACCTGACAAAAGCCTGGAGCCGATGGCGTGCCAGGGAAATGTGCTGCTCTACCTTGTTGATGATTGGGAACAGCGTGCACACAACCTGGACGCCCTCAGGTGGTAAACCTATCTCCTCCTCTGCCTCTCTCAGGGCAGTGTCGACGTCATCACGGTCACATGGGTCTCTCTTTCCACCCGGAAAACACACCTCACCTGCACTGGTCCTCAGCTGAGAACATTAGGTGAGCAGCAGGGGGATAGAAGTGTCAAACGGGGCTGAAGACGCCCCCTCCATCTATCGTCTCGGTGTTAGGTTACCTCTTTTGAACGTAGAGTCATTAAGGCGTGCAGCTCTCCGCCCCTCACGAACAGAGGGATCAGCACCGAGGCTTTGGGTAGCTCTGGCAAGCAGGGGAGCTTTCCCCCGACATGAAACTGCTTTAAAGTGGCTATCGTCTCCTCCTTTAAATGCATTATAGTGGCTCCTTAATGTCAGCGGTCGAACAGCTGGCATACCACGTCCTGTCAATAAAAGGGTGCCTTTATTCAAGCTACCTTTTCGGAAGGACCGACAGTGTTTTACCTCACGAGAAACGACAAGCTGTGCAGGAGGTGAGCTGTAGTATTTCCCAGCCGTGTCCTTGACGCTGTCACAGTCCAGCTAAACTAGGGTTTCACTCCCAAACTTCGCTTAGGTTGAGGTTAAAATCATGTCATTGATAGCTCATCAACAGTTATGACGTCAACTCTCAGCGACTGGCTATGTAGCTGCGCATGCGTCAGGGTTTGACGTCCCACCCCGCCCAACTTGCTATTTGATTGGCGCTACTTTGGATCAGTCACAACCAGATGTCCCGCCCACTCGTTTCTAATAACGATATCTCATTGGCTCGTGGCTAATATCATAAACAGGCCGACAGCAACAGTCGTGCTCTTATACGTTTTAATGGCAATCAAATAGAGGCCGGTATCCATATGTGCACACGACAATCAACCAGAACCTATCATGTATGTGTTAATTAAATGTAAAACTTATAAGGAAAATAAAAGACTTCCAAGATATGTATTACAATCCAAAGCAAGGTTTGCAGTTTTAAAGTGATCTTGGGCAAAAGAGGCCATCTGAGGGGTATACTGCTGTTCCAGAAAGGGGTCGAGAAGGTAGTGGTGAATGCACCTTCAAGCTGGTTTGCCAGCAGCCCTTAAACAGCAAATACGAAGGCATAGGCCCAGGAGCCAAACGCAACCCGAACATAATGAGGTGCAAAAGAGATGTAAATGAAGTGGTTCAACATGGCCAGGGTTATAAAGACGGTAATGAGGATGCAAAATGGTGCAAATCAAATGCAAGCAAACACAAACGGAGAGCAATTGACTGAAATGAAACATTAAACAACCAAGAAGAGCAACATCACATAAAATGTAGGGGCAAAATAAAGTAAATCACCAAAAGGGAACACAGAATGACCATGAAAAGACAATACATGGCATTTGGAGACACAACAGCATGTTCACACAAAGACAAAAAAATAGACATTTTCACATAGATTTAAAATGACAAAAATTTACACAGAAATAATAAAAAAAAAAAAAAAAAAAAAAAAAAACAAGACTTTGAAATAGACTAAAAAGATCATACATTCATAAAATGAAGTTCTCAACATTTGATTTGGGGGTTTGCCTGTCAATCCCACAATGAAAACTACTGATCTGTAAATAATTAAATACAGGAATAGGCTAAAATTAACTGGTCAGATGATATCACGCAGGATACAGGCATATCGAAAGCATAGTCGTTATAACTTGTTAAATGTCGCCTCATCTGTATGTGATGCATATGCTTGACGAAAATAAGAATAAGTGGGACCTAAGGGCTCTGCATGCTGAGCCTTGCACAGGTTATCCATGCTAATGTTCTGTCTCATCCCAGTGACACCCTTTTCATAGTTTTTTTTTTTTTAAGTAGAACTGAGAAAGTGCAACTGAAGACAGAATTCAAGGTTTCAACTGGATATGTATTGCTGTAAACAGGTTCTTCATGAAAACATCAAATAATAAACAAAGCATATAGTACATTGCACTTAACTAGTACCACATAGTGAGGGGACAAACCATCAACTGGAACTTAAACTAAAGCATTTGCTAACAGCTCACTCAGTATATACAGTAGCCTGAGACGTGTGATTAATAAGCCAGTGAAAAAAAGCAAGACATTCTTCTTCTCCATATCCTAAAAAGAAAACATAAATTCATAGCTAAAGTCTATACACACAAATTGGCTTAAATAATTAAAATTTTCCAACAAAATATCCTTAAATAAAAATGATCCATTCCACTAATTCAGGTAGGGAAAGAAATGTTCTTCTTGAAAGTTCATTACAACCCGCAAGTCACTTCTTGTGGATTCTTAAGTAGAAAAATAAATACGATTCAAAACACAGCAAAGCTAAGGAGGCTCCTCACAGTGGTCCTTGTCTTCAGTGACTCAGACATCACTTCTGTGCCCATTTGAACTCTCACACTTTGTACTTCTCCTTGGCCTGATCGTTCAATATACAGATGTGCTGGGGAAGAAATCGATATATGAATATACTATATCCATTTATCAACAGAAATAGCTATTTTGCATGGCAGACATCTATCCTAAATTTTTAAGTGTCTATGTAAATCTTAACTTGACCGTGACGATCAGGGCCTTAAAACTACAGCTATAGTTGCAGTCAACAGGGACAGAAGCAAACTGAAGATGTGCTGTGTGTGCTTGTGTTTCAACTGCACAAACACTTACGCTGAGATCGCGGAAGTACTCGTTGTAGTCCAACGCATAGCCCACCAGAAAGGCGTCTGGTACCTCAAAACCAATGTCTGGGAGTGCAGTGGAGGTCAAACAATTAGACGTGGACTCTAGTGGGTCCAGTGGTAAAGAAGCAATCTCTGTTGGTTCATTTGTTTCTGTGAGGCTGTTCTAAAGCTATATGTTCTACATCAATGGAAAGTCAAAACGCTTACAGTAACAGCTGTCCCTGAGGAGTAACCTGAAAAGATTACCCAACTGGGAGCTAAAAGCATTACATAATCAGAGAGTGCGAGCTGGAGGTCATCAGGCATGCATTAGTACATACGTGCCTGGCTCACTCACTCATTTTGATGTAGATTTTCTCTTAAATTCACTTTAATCCTACTTCACTAGGTCCTCAAAGAACAGCAGACACAGAGATCCATGAAATTAGCACATTGCTTAAGTACCACACCATGTCTTTAGTAAGCAGATACTCACAGTCCGGTCTGTACCCTGAGCTCCGCGGGGTCCTTTTGACTAGAAGGCTGGAAAGAGAGGTGAGAAAATAAGAACATATAGGATCTGTTAGGGAAAAGACTTAAAAGAGAAATGAACAGGGCAAAGAAATCATGTAAAGTCAAGAGTCTTTTCAGTGCAGGTTTTGAAGCCGACAGGTTGTCCTGCTGCAACCCGCCCAAATATCTACCACTTCAAAGCTCAAGATCAGCCTCTAGGCAAATATGGACATGAGCACAAAACTCAATCCAGGAAGAATCTAACAAGGTATAGATTCCAGCCAAATCTTAAAACGTCTTAGCAGAAACAGCAACCCGCTGCATGACATGATATCCCCAGAGTACAATAGTTTCTTATGGGGGAGAACTGAGTAAAAGGATGGTCAAAAATATGCCAATACCACAATGGAGATAATTAACTGCCAACCGTCCTGTTTGCTGGGATCATAAATTAAGAAAAAGGTTTCTTCGGTTAAACCCAGCAATCAGGAATGCCAAAGAGAAATGGCCTCTACCTCCGCAGTGCAGTTTAAAGTGCGGCAGATTAACTCTTAAGCTGCTCCATCCCTCTGTCACATTACATCTCTAATTCAGTCCTAAAGGAAAGTGTCCATTAGCTAAGAGCACTGTTAGATGCACTCTGTGAAGACATGCCAGCCAGTTGTAGCTGTGGTTTATAATTCAGCCCTGTGCACTTTAAACAGAGTGCGATCGTGCCTACCTCACAACTTTGACCATTTTAGGATTACATTCACTCAGCAGGGAAAGAAGAGTCTGCATCGTCCTTCCTGTCTCGACGATATCCTTTTTATCAAAGCAGGAAGTGGTCACAATTATGCAGACATGAACAGAGAGAGAGATCCGTTAACAACTGGTCTTTCGTGCAAGTTGTGCACAACAGATAATTATATTAATGATTAAAAAAATAAAAGGCAAACAAAATGATAGATGCGGGCCGCAGCATTAATCTGCTGCACCACATGGATTTGCTATATAAATCACATGCAAATGAATGACTAAGGTTTCAGTCAGTAACCTAACTTGAAGTCACATGTTTAATTTTCAGATTACCCCAACTCATGTGTGTGTTTTTCATTCATTAAAAGGTCTTACCTCAACGATCAAAACATTCTGCAGGGAAAATGAGGTAAAGCAGGTTAATGAAGCGGGTCTGCGGAGAACAACGTTGAATTTTTAGCTTAATGGAGTTCAGATGACTAACCTTGCCTGAGAGGTTTGACAGCTCATCCCCTCCTATGACTTTGACATCGTTTGTTGATTTGTCATTCTAGGGAGGAACAAAAAAATTTAACAAATAAAAGCATTATACATCTTTTCAGTATAAATATTGTTCTGGTTTGGATTCATGCACTGCAGTGCACCCACTGGCAATTAAAAAGATGCTCCGAACTGGTATTTTGCCAACTCTAATGCGTATCACACACCTCGCTTAAGAACAAGCGGGTCCTGGAAATGTAATGAGAAAGGCAGCTTACACAGTAGCTCTTCACTCTAATGAAATCCACTGTCAGCGGGACTGATTTATCACTGTTCTGGTTCAGTGCTTTGATGTAGTCCAGGAGGTCAGCAAAGAACTTGTAGCCCCCTTTTAGTACACACAGAGCCACGATGTGGTGTCCCCCCATGTCTCGGATTATGTCGCGGGCCAGGCGCTCGGTCCTGCAACAGAGAGACGGCCCACAGTGACCATCAGTGACCATTATTGACCGTAGCGTTGATACGGAGGCAGAGCGGCTCTTAGGATGGAGAGAAGAGCCTTGGCATCATGCAGCACTCAGACATAATTGCTTACTGAGCATTCCACCACACTGTACTCTCCCCCCCTCCTTAAAATCAACTTAAAACGTGCAGCAGGATGTGGCACAGGCATATTGTGTAACGTAACCAGCCTCATTAAGTCTGAAAAGTTCCATCAGGAACTGCTCTGTTGCGCTGTGGTTTGGTTTCCCGTTAGCCCCAACAGACAAACGAAGAGCACCTCCAACACGAAGACATGTCAAAATGTATGTTCAGAAACGGAAGTGTGCGAGACGACAGATCTGTCCCCTGATTGGCTCACCTGTCCATGATGAGTCCATGAGGGATTATTACTTTTTCCAAATCGTTCTCATAATGTCTGGGGACGCAGAAGAGATCGAGATCGTGCCCCTTCTCGTCGTCGGCGATCTGGGATAAGAAGAGAAAGATTCAGACGTTTGGCTTTGACGGGAAACGGGCGCCAAAGACGCCTTAACGGAGCGGAGTCCCAGACCCTCCGGGCCACCTGTTTATCCACACACGCGCTTCAACAGACAAGGTGGTAAACATGCACTACTATTAAAGACTAATGCTTTTTTTTTTTATTTCGGAGGGCTCCTGTCGCCCTCTACTTCCAAACAGGCCTGCAGTAGCGAAAGCAGCCACAACCACACCCTGACAAGTGAACAAGTTACCCCAACAGCCGGCGGCCTCACCTGCAGAAAAGAAGCCATGTTCCCGGTGGTGCGACGGTCAGTTCAGCGGCACACACTTGACCGAGGAGTCATGCTCAGAACCCTAAAAACAGGGAGTCGGGAATTGTTCGCGACCAAGCTGCGCGAGGCGCTCTTCTCTCCGTCGACCGTTTGTCACCCCGCGCGCGAGCTCGAGCGGCACGCGACGCCGCTCTGCCGGGGTTTAAAGCCTTTACGTCAGAATCCAGTTTACCTTCGCATTAATCTGATTTGTCCCTCACAACCACAGCTTAAACGTGCTATGTTAGGGACCGCCGACACTACTACAGCTTCTTCTTTTTCTTTTTTTTTTTAAATGGGAGCTGTGGTAGATGACCTGAGAGCTCTGAGCGTGAGAGGCAGAATGACGCAGTTTTAAAAATATATCGAGTGGCAGTTCCTCCTCTGAAAGAAGCTCGTGCGGCTGCATCTCTGACGGCTCACTCTGCAGTTTTGGACCGTTACCGGTTTGTTTAAGTCAGCAGTTTGGGGCCAGAAATACACATTTCTCTGAACATATTCATTCTCTAAGTTCCATTTAGATTCCAAGCAGTGATTTTGTTGTTAAATGACTGAAATCATCAATGTGACTAATGCTTTAACTACTCAATTGGATTTTGCAATCCTGCATTTATTGTGCTGAGAAAAAGTTATAATACCTAAAAACATGCTTGCATATAAATGCACAAAATCATTAACTGTTTTTTATTGAAACTGGGTTTCAGTCAAGGAGTTTTCCATCGCTTATGAATATGACTAGGCACAGGGGAACACGAAAAAACTTCCAAAACATCCCACTTTTAATATGATCCCAATTTAATGAGTGATACAGAAACAATAACATTTTTATTCCATTTTACAAAAACAGAGCAACACCGGGCGTTGGATAATACCAAAAGCATGGCATCTATGAAAACAGCATAAACTTGTTCGCACAGTTCAGAACACCGGAGAGCAAACATCATCATCGTCGTCATCTTTATGTGATAACAGTCTTTGAGTGCCATTGTCTACCATGAGGCCAAATCTCAGAGGACACGATTCCCCATGCAGAGTCCTACTTTTAGTCTGAGACCCACATACGGAGCAGCTGTGGTTAAAAAGTAGAGCACCATCCAGATGAGGATGGTGTGATCTGAGAAACGACAACAGGGGCAGAGAACTCATTTTTTCTTCTTCTCATCTTTTTTGGCACCATCTGCCTTCTCCTTGTCTTTGTCTTTCTCTTCTTTTTTCTCTTTGTCCTCTTTCTTCTCTTTCTTGCCTTCCTCCTTCTCCTGTCCCTCCTTCTTTTCTGCATCTCGGTTGGAAATCTTGTTGTTGATCAAGTTGTGCAGAGCAACCACGGAGCGTATCAGCGACGCCAGGTAGACCACCAACATCTGGTCGTTGGTCTTCAGGTAAAAGGCTTTTGTGAACTCCTGCAACAACCGAGGGGAATGCACTTACACGGAGAAGTCCAATAAAGCACACATCACACTCAAACGATTGGAAAAAATTCAATTCTGGAGAGAACCCAAAAAAATAAATCAGGGAGCGGAGTATTCTACTTGTGCCCCAAGAATGGTTAATGTCATCATGCAGGTTGAGCACAGGAGGGGGGAGCCCTTTAGGGGCTGAGTGTTTTATCAGGAAATGAATATTTTTAGATTAATCACAAAGTTTCATTTGCTTGACACCAGCTGTACAGCTCTAATCCTCACTTCAGACTCCTGTGGATTAAAAGGCACTGCTCACTCAGAAGTGGAAGCTATGCTATTTGTACTCCTCTTCACATAGCTTTAGTTCAGTGCATTACTTCAAAAAGTAATGCAGGAATTAAAAAATAATATGATTTCATAACCGTGTGTGTCATCTTTAATCAACAGTTGGTATAAATCTCTCAGAGGGGCAAATGACCCAATTGTGATATATATATATATATACACTAAACATAAAGCCTCTTCTTGTGCCAGTTTGAATGAATTTCGACCAGCTGCAACAGCAGGGGAACTATAACAGAACAGACTGTTATCGTTAGCATCTTACCAGCAGGTTTACGTCAGGCAGTAGGTTGAAGACGTCCTGCAGCTGGTAGATGATCTGGTGGTTGATGGGAAGCTTCCCTGCAACCACCCTTTCCAAGTATGAGCGGATATCCAACAGCTTAGAGTTGAGTCCCTTTAGGCCATGGACCTGGTTTGTGATGCGTTGTGACAGAGTGCCCACCGTGGTATCTTTGATGTCTCTGTAGTTGGGAAACGGCAGACAAAAAGTCGATGAGCGGGTGAATGTATCTGCGTTGATGAAGCACGCCGATGTGGATCATCTCACCCCGCTTGTTGTGCAATGCCCTCACATCTATGACTCACAGTGGAATCTAACCTAAAGATGTGTGTGAACCAAAGGTTTGTTTCATACCTCAGCAGGTGCTCCACCCCCACTTCTTCTGCTTCTTCAGCTCCAATCTCACTGGTGACGTGTTCGAACGTCCTGGAAGTTGGAGTGCCATCCTGGAAATGGCAAATTACCATGTGAACAAAAGTCAAACATCTGATCTGACAGGAAATGTATTTTTCATTCAGGTGTAGTCCAATTCCTACTGACATCGTGTATTTCCTCCACTGAGATGTACGCTTCTGTAGGCAGGCCGAGGTCTTTAGGCTTCACATCTATAATGACCAACACCTGGGAGGATGAAAGCAGATGTGGGAGTTACCAATCATCCAACTGAACATCATCAGGCAAGGATTATGTCCAAATACATGCACAATGAAATGAAGGAGAAGTCAAAGAAGCTGCATACCGAGTTGGTACAGTACCGCTTGATGAGCTCGTTGATGGCAATGTCATTCTTATGCAATTTGGGTCCTGTGTGATACCATCCCACTATTCTTTCTCTGGCTGGAAACCAAAAGCACTTGCAGGTGAGAATCCAAAGTGGTGATACGTTAATTTTAAAAACATTTTGTAGACACAGTCAGCAACTTACCATTTACTTTCTTAAACATGCCATACATATTCTCCAAGTAGTCGTGATCCAGGAACCACACTGAGTCATCCCTGTCGTCCTCATCAAATGGAACTGAAAAGGAACAAATACTTAAGTGTCAAAATGTTAAAGTTAACACATGCCAAAGGAGCAGGAAATATGAGGCCTGCAGAAAGACCAAGGATGAGCCCTTTGGTAGGATCAATAAAAGCAGTGAGTGGTTGTTTGTTATTATACTGAGATCTAATTCAGTTCTAAAGGCCCCTTTATGTAGCAATAAAGTGACTTCTTGATGGCTTTGTATGGTTATAACTATTGCTGCTTTCATCTGATATCTGTTCTTTGGTCAGGAAGCACTAAAAAAAGGTGCTTAAAATTGAATTTGACAGTTAAAATATCTCCGCTTAGCACTTATATTGGCACAACGCTGCACTTGGCCAGTCGACTGTCATGTGCGGCTTTGTGTGAGCTTTCTTCACCTGAAGATAGATATGCATACATACAAATAACCCTATCTCCTCTAACTTTGAATTCTGAATATTTATGAGAAAGATTTATAAGCCATTTTATCTTATTTCAAACTATTCATTCAAACTTAAATTATCTTTCATTTACACCTTTTTAATTCTCTTGAGGCATAAGCTGTTGGAGCTGCTCTAATTCTGTCACAGATGGTATGAAATTAATTGCACTCACCCACTCTAGCTAATACTGTGGACATAAACATTTAGCTTAGTTTTGCCCCACAGGGCAAACACTTAGTGTGCTAAATTATTTATGATAGCGTCATCTAAATTTAACAAAAAGCAAGGCAAGATATAAATAGACCACAATTTTCTGAGGCATTAAGCAGCCTTTCTCTGTACTCAGAGACATCCTGAGAAGGCAGTAAGTGGCCCCTCTGGAATATTTGTCAGTGTGGATCTGGGATCATACTTATCTACGAGAAATAATAGATTTAGCCACATAAATATCAAGTGCTAAAATGTGCTTGGACCTCACACTTCAGCTGAGTGTGAGCGGACTGCAATCAGGCACAATATATCACATACTCCAATCAAAGCACTACATGGCAGAGATTTGGAATGGTTAGATGTCAGCGTGGAGCTGATATGGCAGGAAGCAGCTAACAACATGCGTATACCGGACTAGGGTCATTTTTCTTCAGTTCTCTTTGGCCCGATTTTTGCAAAAAGAAGTTTATGCTTGCAAGTCTTTTTCCTTTCAGTTTCAGAGTCCATCTTCGATCCTGTATAGATTTTCTATTTCATCTACAGTAAAGTAATATTGCAATCATAGAGAAGAACATATTCTTCTTTTTCAAGTTGTTTGATAGAACAACATCAAAAAAGTTTATTCCTGTGTTCCTTTTCACTTTTAATATAGGTATATCAAACTGAAGCTCAGCATCTTAATCCAATGGCATTAAAAAAATCAGGTCGACTGTACTTGAAACAGTTTACCACTCAAGTTTATTTTCAAATTAATGTACGATGGGATTTATGTAACTTTACACACAATAATCTGAAATTAAGAAAAGTTTGCAGTTACAAAGGTAATGTATGCAAGTATACATGCTATGTAATATATGTCATGTTTTATTTTGTACATTGTTTCCTTATCGTAACTTGCATGCGTTATACCACTTACCTGCGAAACTGTTGGAAACATCAAGAACTTTTTTGTGCCATGATCCCAAAAGGACACCAACCACACGTTTCTGATTTCCAACTTTTCCTATCCTGTGGATCAGATCAAGCCGTTAATTCTCTTTTATCAAAATTGTTGTCAGCTAAGCTAGCAATTCTGACATTCTGCCCCTAATAACATCGCCATTAGTCAGTTACACAAACGATGACATTAGAGATTGTATCTATGATTCAATAAAATAAATCTAAAAAACTAGGAATACAATTGAGACAATTTTTTGCTAACACTTTCACAGAGCTAATTAGCCATGTCATGTCCACATTCATTCTCAACGGGGCTCTGACTCAGCAGGGCTAACATTAGCCTAGCCTAGCAACAGCGCTACGCTACTCAGACATTTTACCTTCCAAACCTTGTAAAAGCCTGAACACAAATACTGAGTTTACTTACCTGTTAAAATGATCGACCACACTGAGTAATACAAGTGGGTGAACAACCACGTTTTCCACTGCTAATTCTGGCATTGTAGCGAAGGGTATAAACTGCACACCGCCTCTACACAATGAACACTATTCCTCTTTTCCGGCTACGTGTGACGTCTCTTCCGTTTCCCCAGGCAACAGAAAGACGCTGCCAAAGGAGCAAAACGTTTATGCGGACGACAAATCACCAACAAAATGGTAGGAATATACCTTTTTAGTCAAGTCAATCCACTTCCAAAGTGTTCCTTTTTTGTGAAAATGGCACAAAAAGATTTTACTGATTTTTTTATCTATACAAATGGTATCAGGAAGTTTGCTGGCGGTTCAGTTGATCACTTTTTAATGAGGCAGCTCCAAGAGATTAACCATTGTTTTATCATTTTGATCCAGCAGGCTGATGTTGAAGAAACACTGAAGAGGATTGAATCCCACAAAGGTGTGATTGGAACTGTAGTGGTAAATGCAGAAGGTAAGTACAACCAAACAAATAGAATTGCAATATTGTGTATAACATAGTGTGATTGTAAATGCTTTCCTCTTAAAGGCATTCCCATCAGAACTACTTTAGATAACTCCACAACAGTTCAGTATGCAGGACATCTTCGCCAGCTCACAATGTTGGCCAGGAGCATGGTCAGAGATATTGATCCTCAGAATGACCTGACCTTTGTCCGAATCCGCTCCAAGAAACACGAGATCATGGTTGCACCAGGTCAGTTATTGGCAGATATAAAACTGTTCACAAACACTTCATTTGATCAACGGCAAAACACTTATGCTGCTGCTTTTTTCACTGCGTTTCCATGGCTTATCTTTTTCTTCATGTCTCTGCAGAGAACAACTTTCTGCTGATAGTCATCCAGAACCCATGTGAATAACCACAGGGCATGTATCTGTGGCTCAGCCTCCATCAGACAGTGGTTCTTTATCAAAGGAAAATACTTTTGTTGCTTTGTATAATCTCTCTTTTTCTATCTGACACTCAAAAATGTTGCCACAGAATACACTGTATTTTTTGTTTCTTTTCTTTCATGCCTGTTGATTCTCAGTACGTGTGAAATAAATGTGCATGTAATAAAAGTATTGGTGTGCATACATTTGTAAGGAAACCCAAATACATATGAAGAGCATTCATCGCAAGTGTGTATTGCAAACATCAGCCATGAAGTCACATCGAGTGTCGCGTTTAAAAGTTTGGAAACCTTCCAGAAAAGGTCATATATAAACAAATTTATAACCTATAATTATCAGCAGATAAGGACAAAACTTAACAAACAATAAGAATATTGTGTATTGTAGTTTATATTCTGCCTGAAATGTTCCCTTATTAGCAACCTGTTTTGGGCAATTTTTTGTTCTGTATGAACAATAGGGATTTATCTAAATTTGCTTTTCAGAACACGTTTAATAATTTGTATTATTCCATGGACAATGATATCTCTGAGGATCTCAGAAAAGGTTTTTGATACTTGTTCGCCCCCAAAAGGCCACATAAATATTTCTCATGAATTTGAAGTTCAAAGATAAGTCTGCAGTCAGACAGAATGTGTAATATATAGACCAACTTAAAAACCACGATTGCCCTCAGGATAATGTTAGTGTGTGCAAAATAATGTCATTGTGTTCTTTTAAACAAATAACATGAAGTCCACAGATGATCCTATAATCCAATAATAACTACCAAATCAGCCATGTAATCATTGACTGAGATGTTTAATTTAAAACTTTTTTTTGGTCTTATGTATTATGAAATCAGCTTTATTCTTTTCATCGGTTGCTGTGTCCTTATTTGAAAGGTCTTCACTCCGGATGCAGGCACATAACTAACTGATTTCTACCAGATGGGTGAAAGAAAAGATACGCAAAAAATGTTAGGCAAGACATTTTACAAATATTTTATTGTAAATTTCCATTGGAATGTACAGCAATATATGTTAATAAATAGATCATCGCAAATATACAGCCCAAACAATACATTACATGACAACTGATTGAAGCAAATATTGTAGATTTCACAGCAAGTCTGTAGAGGTGGCTGAGCAGGAAGGTCAGGTTAACTGGTGAAGCTGTTACTGTCATTTGTGCTTAAAGATTTAATTAATTCTATGGGGCATGGCATTGACAATTCATCTGGCGTAAGCAAAAAAATAAAAAATTTAATTAAAAACCAATAAGGGTCATAGTTTATTGTCATCAAAAGAGGGAGAGAGACATTCTGTTTATGTCATACATAAACATTAGTTAATATCACAAGAAACTTTGTCTTGGTTTCAGGAGTCCTAAAATGGAATTGAACAAGAATTTGGCTGAACAATCACTTAGATATGCTTAAGAATACTTGGAATAAAAATGACTTTGATGGGCATCTGAGGGGCTAAGGTGGCAGACTCTTGGGTTAAAACATCTGAACAATGACATCGCTGACGTTTGTAGTTTTCATCTCAAGTGCTTCTCTTCCGGCTCTCAAACATTTTCACATCACATTTTTCACAAAACAATTGTGCCCACTACCCTTTATTTGCTATTCATTTTCATTCTGACCAGCAGCAAATCCAAAAGAAAAAAGCATATGGCTTCCCACACGGCATGGTTAAAGCAGTAAAACTTACAAAACTCTTAATCTATCACAAGGGACATTACCACTGGAAAGTGTAACCTAAAAAGAACTTACTTGAAACCATTTACCATTAAATATTCGTTAGATGCTTTATGCACTCTGTAGACAAGCTGTTCCTTCCGTCAGATACAGAATTCAGCAGACACACAGAGGACAAGTATCAAGTATTTAATCAAATTTCATTTCAAGTGCATCCTGTCAAGTTTAAGGCCTGGGGTGTGCTTTGATTCGTTGACTCGAACCTCGCTGCACAGCTGGACTCTTTTTGCTGCTGTCCAGAGAGGCTGCAGATGTGTGCTTAGTGAAACAACTCATTTAAGTGGAGTGGTGCAGTTTTTTTTTGGATTAACATCTATATTATGAGTTAAACGGTGGGCAGTCCTTAAAGACAGTTCAGGTAGTTTGAGTTGTGAGTGCAGTTTCACTGAAGGAGTGTTGTGTCACAGTCTATAGGCAGAGATAGACAGCGGAACTCTAAAACTCTCTGGACACCATGGCATGGAAATAAAACTGGACCCGGGAAACATCAGGTACCATTAAAGACACCCGGCTCCTTCAAGTGCTTCAAGTGTGGAGAGTGACCTGGCTCCTGTTCGACTTGCTCCTGTTGCAGCTCTCTTCTCTGTGGGAGTCGTGACCCTTGGACTCTGAGTTGGAGGTCACCTCTGCATGTGTCCATTGACTTGGCCCCTGCCCCAGTGAATGTTTGGTAAGGTCAAACACCTCCTGAAGTGTTCGAGCTGGGCCTGCAGTCTTTCCCGCTCCTCCCTCACCTTCTGCTTCTGACTCACCAGATCCTGATAAATGGAGGAGAGCCACATCGTTACAGACCGAGCTGTCCCATGTACAGTTTGCACACACGCTAAACACTGTTTCTACAATTTGAAAACCCACAAATATACAAAGATGCTATCACGCAGCATCAGTTCTCACCCCCATGGTGACTGAGAGCTGCTCTGCAGTTCTGGTCAGAGTGTAGTTCTGAGCTTCAAGTCTTTTACACTGGCTGTGAAGAACCTGCCGCTCTATGCTCCATTCTGCGAAGAGGGAAACAATTCAAAGGAAATCATGTGGACACGCACACAAAGGTGTCGACAAATTCTATTAATTATTTTTCAGATAAAGGTTACAAAGCTAAACTTTCCAAGCTCTGAGTAAAATCCCACAAATATAATCTGACTTGATGCTAACTTACCATCCACATACTCGTGGTAGGCCTCAAAAATAGCTTCAATGCCCTGCCACTTCCTTGGAACGTCTTCCACCTCTTCCTCGTCATCCTCCTGACCAGACTCCTCCTCCTCCTCATCAGACATTTGATCATGTGGAGCAGGAGCATTCAAATTTGCTGCAGGGGAGTGAAAGCGGTGACCATTGACATGCGCATGCTGAGGGGCTGGGTTCAGATTTGACGTTTTCAGCTGGGATAGGCTGTCAGGCAGCGGGCGGTTAGACTTTCCTCCAGTCTCAGAGACACTAAACACTCCTTAAAAAGAAAAAGGGAAATGCAAAGAGAAGGTCATTTTCATGGTAACCACACCACATTTCAGGACACTGGAGTACTTCTCCCACACCATCAGCTGTTTATTGTGGTGCACATTGTGGCCACTGGGTGGCGCTATGCAGTAATCTTTGAATTCACACTGGTGCCTGAAAGTGCTTGTGTGGGAGATGGGGGCTAACCTTTATTATGCTGCGTGCTGTGTGTGGACTGCAGCACAGCCTGGTGGAAGTGCTGAGCAAAGGCCTCAGATGTGAACCTCTCCCAAGGCCAGTTCTGCCCATTCTGCACAGGACTGTGCTCTTTTTTCAGAATTGGAGCCACGACACCATTTTGGAGGGACTGAGGCTTTCTTATCGACTGGGTTTCGATGGATCCGGGCTTTTCATGATGGGATGTCAAGGGAGGAGGGATGCGGGTCACCTGGGAGTCTGCGGTGGGTTTGACTGCATCATTATGGTGATACTTAGGTTTGTGTGAGTAAGGAGGAGATGGACTAGGAGACTCTGGGTAGAGGTGATTGTTTGATGGTGGAGCCGAGTATGAGTCATCTAAAAAATAAGCACATGTCAATAAAGGAGGAATCCAGTAACCATTAGCACATGTATATTGTGAAGTGTAGCTGTCTGTGTATGGCTCACCAGCTGAGGGAGCAGTAGGACTCCTACAGAGAGGCAAAGGATTATATCTGAGCGTGTCTAATGTCACAGTCTTCCTCTGAATGGCCCTCAGCAGCTCCTCTGTCCTCTCCTTATCTATAGAAAAGAAGACAGAATGAGAACACCCATCATTCTTGTTGAAAAAGACGGCGACTTCACACCAGGAATGCATGAAAAATTTCCCTTAAATGGATTATCTGAGTCACAGCAATAAACTATAGCAAGGACGTACAAAAAAAATCAAGTCTTCTCTTTTCCAGTATTTAAACAAAATGTTCCCAACAAGACAGAACAGATCAGTCAAATAATCACCCGGACATCACCTCCAACAGCACCCAAATGAAGTTATTTTCTAACACACTGGAAATGGTATATGGAAACATGCAGCTGAAAAAGTACTGAAAGAGGATAGCAATAGGAAGCGGACTATGGAATAGCAGTGCTAAACATGAAAAACCAAATGGGATCAATAAAAAAAACAACTTATTTCCATGTTTTTAGCAATCAAGTAGGACTGCAACTAATTAATCATCAAAAATCAAGCATGCAGTGTTCTACAGTCAGGGTCTGACTGATTTTGAACTTGCTGAATAGCATTACAAAAACCACAGTCATAATGATATCCTCCAGAGATTCTGCCACCTTGTTTGAACCCAGCATCGACTGGGTAGCCATTCACCATATTCTACATATGTGGATCAATATCAGCAAGACAAACAATCTCGGACTCACTGGAAGAAACTAGAAGAAAGTAAATGCTGTTTTTTTTCCAAGGGGGACCATCATGGCAATAGCCGAGTAGCACGCAGGGTGTGTGTAACTGCACAGGTCCTTACCTCTCCTCTGCTGTGGGCTGACATGGGTGAGGCTGAACATAAGGAGGAAGTCTTTTTTCTGCTCCAGCTCGGGGGTGCTGTCCATCTGCTCGGCAGAGTACGGTGTGGTTAGGGGAGCTGTGGGAGTTGAAGGTGAAGAAACCTTTCTCTTGCCCCGCACTGCCGGCGGAGAGAGGCTGCGGTCTCTCATCATCCTTCTCCTTTTCCTCCTTTTCTGAGCCAGGAGCTCATCGCGCCGGGGCAATGTGGTCAGACCGCACAAATGCAGGAAATCCACTTTCTTTGGAGAGAGAAAAATGGGCAGAAGATTATGAAACAGAATATTTCCAAATTTCGGTCTGAAATGTGAGTCCGTCTGGCTTTGCCTACCTCAGAAGATGCGTCCAGTTTCAGAGGGGGCTGCTCAGTTACTCGTCTCAGATGAGCTTTGACCTCCTCCTCATCGCTCTCATCATATGACTCATCCAGATCATAGTAATAACCTGGTCAAAGCAGAGCAGGGAAGAAATCATCGTTATTATGAGTCACCTTTAAAGACAGTAATGTCAACCCTTCCCTGGAGTAATCGGCTTTTATGTGCCTTTCTCGGCACCTCTCACCTCCTTCTCTGGCCTCTTTCCTTCTTTTCTCCTCCAGGTCGAGTTTACTGAGTAGCCGGCGGTGCTGCTGGAGAACCTCATCATAGACCAGCATGCTGTCGGGAGCCTGCTTCTGGCGTTCCCTCATCAGAGAAGGAGAAGCAGCCTGGCAGCGGCCCCCCTGGTCACTCTGGGCGGTCAGAGGCACACACGGTCTGGGGAGGCTGTTTACGTGATGCCGGGCGTAGAGGCTCTGCATGGCTCTTTCCTTCTCCGACTTGTTCCACGACTCCTGCAGGGCTGCCCCTCTCAGAGAGGGGTACCTCTCTGGGCTCTTGGCAGTCCTCTTGCCTCCGTCCTCCATCCTCTCCTCCCAGCTGACATGGGGCCGGTCAGCTCTGGTCAGTCCCGGGGGCGGTCGGGTAGGCGGTGTTGGAGGATTGAATTTTCTCCGGGAGTCTCCAGGCGTGTCAACAAGGGAAGCTGGGTTCCAGAGAGCAGTGGGAGGAGCAGGTGTGTGATGGGGACCTTTCGGGGAGATAAGCGGAGGTGGAGCACCGAGGCAGGGGGGAGCGTCTTTGCTGCCTAAGTTGTGATAAATAGAACTCAATCTGTTTCAGGAAAAGGAAATAATGATAAAGTCAGCATGAAAATGAAGAAGTACACACCATTTACTTCAGCTTATTGATTCAACATTGTCACCTGTGGTTGTCTCTCCTCAGCTCCACCCCTTTCCCAGGTGACCTGAGGCCCACCTCCAGCATTCCCTCTCTCTCCTGCCTTTGTGCCCGTTTCTGGGTTAACCACGCCTCTTCACTGGCCCTCTGAGTCATCATGGCAGCTGCCAGAGCTCCATGGATCCCCCCAGAGGCAGGGCCACGATGCTTCCCCTGGTGAGAAGGCAGCAGGCTGGGTACTTGGTGCGGAACAGGGGCCATGGAGGGGGGAAGTCCGGGCTGTAGGGCGTGAGCTTTTGAAGCTTGGAAACTCTGCAGGTCGGAGTCCTTGCTTTTATCTGCTGAAACAGAAACATTGAAAAGTTATTTGTTTATTGCTTTGACCTGTCCAGGGAGAGTGCGTAAATTTGCACATTAGTATGCCTGATATACTTTGCTGCGTCTACACGAAAGGGAGAGGGCCAGGAAGGGACACAAAGGTCCTTGTACATCCTCTGGGGCCATTAAGGTTCGTTATGCTAGCCATGGATGCTGTGATTTAGAGTTTTATGTGACAGCATGCAGCCAACTATTGTTGACGAAATATGATGTTTTTCGGATGCTTTGTAAAGTATCTATTAAGAACATTTCAGGGCCGTCTTCTTTCTCCAAGTGGAAACTTACATGGGAAATAGTGTTTTACTCTTTGAACATGGTGATAATTTCCTGGCATATCAAAGTTTCAGCATTTGAAACAACACTTATGACAACTTATTCACGCGCCCACTCTTGGTCAAAAAAGCAACAATCTTTGCTTTTTTTTTGTTACATTTTTTTATTGTTCTTCTCACTTTGCAATCACAGCCAATAACATGTCCAGTCTGTAACTGACGAAGACAAGTTGGGGCCTATTTTCCATAGATATAACTTTGGGTATCTGGCGGTGTACACACACAGTATGTGTGTGCACGTGAGTGCTGGTGGGGTAGCTACCTGGCCTGTTGGGGGTGAGCCTTTCTCTTGGTCTGGCTCTGTCCTCTGGTGGTGCCCTCCGAGCCTGCAGCTCAGCCAGGTAGTGGTTTTCCGCCGCTCTGACCATCTGCTGCTGTCTGTCCCTCTGCCTCTCCTTCTGTCTGTCCAGCTCCCTCTCGCGCTCCTCCTCCCGCTCTCGCTCCAGCCCAGCCTCGCGCTCCCTTTCTTTCTCTCGTTCACGCTCCTGCTCCCTCTCACGCTGGCGGAGCTCATTCTCCATCTGTAGCCTGTGGGGGAGGTTGACAAGTATGACACACACACACACACACACACGCACGCACACACACACACACACACGCGCACGCACACACACACACATGCCGCACACAAGGGTAGAAGGTGAGAGATGCAACACCCAACATGAGGCAGATATTAACCACTCACTGGTGAACCTCACACAAACATTTCTGATAAAATGCACACAACTCTCACAGAAACACACGCAGACAGGCGCACACACACACACACACACACACACACACACACACTCTCCATTTACCACGAGGAAAATAATCCATACACAGCATGACCGAGCAAGAGCAGATGAACACTTAATAGGTATCCACAGGAAAATGACAAGTGCGCGCCCAAACAAGCAAACACACACACTCACACACACACACACACACACACACACACACACGCACACACATAGAATGCATTCACCTGCAATCCATAGCACACAAACAAACCTACAAGATATGCAGGAGCCATTACGGAACCAGATAATAAATACCATCCATTTAAAAAACAAACAATCCCCCTGGGATTCATGCCACAGGGAAACAGTGAGCCCAGTCAAAGCGAGGAAGGAGCTAAAGCACTTTGGCACGCACTGACAATGTATAGGTATGCAAAGGCAGGTGTGTGTGCGTCTCTGAGTGTGAGACGCAGTGTGTGTGTGAGGTGAGTGTATAGGAGGCACTGTGGGGTGTGTGCTAAAAATATCACACACTCAGCAACCTGTGCTTACCCTGCAGAGAGAGATTACAAAGTCCTGCAAACAGAGGGGAGAGAAAGACAGAGAGAAGACTAAAAGAAAGGAAGACAGAAAGAGATAAAGAGGGAAAGAAATGTAGAAAACAAGACGGTGAAAGGAAAACAGGAAAAAGTGAAAGAAAGACAATAAACAGAGAAAAGAAAGACAGGGGGAAAGAAAAAGATAAATAAATCAACAAAGAAGGAAGGCATAAGAAAAGACAGAAAGTCACCTCTCAGATAAAGCTGTGTGGTTTATCTCTCGGGCGTAGCGGCCTCCAGGCAGCTGCAGGTGGAGGGCTGATGGGTGGAGAGGCGGGAAGGCGCCTCCTCCAGGCACAGAGTAGAACTGCGACCGAAGAGCAGAAAGACACAGGGACTCCTCCATTCTGCTGACAAAGAGCAGAAACCAAGTTACACATACACCCTATAACACCTACAAACTATTGCTGAGACTTGCTCGAAGCCTGGGCCTCAATATCAACTGGCTTCCTAATGGGCATTTTAAAAAATATGTTGCCCCATCATTTATGTAACTTTTTCAGTGTCATGCACTACCGAATAACACACATATTAACACTCTTGTTTTGGTGTCCGTCTGTCTGATATTACAAATCTGTGGAAGGAGTGGAAGATTCATGGGAGTGTCTTCATCAAGGACAGGATGGATTTGCTAGATGAACGATAGGATGTCTGCCAAAATGTTGTTACCTTGGTAAGGACAGAGGGTGGTGGAGGTAGGCAGGATGATAGTACGCGGCGGCGGCGGCGTGGGCAGCAGCAGCTGGGTCCAGACCCAGTGGCAGGGAGGTCAGTCTGAGATCATCAGCGGTGGTGAAGGGCCGAAGAGCCCTCAGGTATTCCTCTGGAACGGCCCCCGAGGGAACCACGGGGTGCATCTGCCCGGGCAGACTGTAGAGCCGGAGGACTTCAGTTCAAAATCAGTTCTGCTTAAAGGCACGGGCAAATACTCTGAACGTGCCTTACTTACCTTATGCTCTGTATGCGGGGGTCTTGCATGATGCTGCTTGGGGTGTGGCCAAAGGAGTGAGCCAATGGGTGGGGCGAGATGATGGGAGGCGTCCTCTTGTCCTGCTGCGGCTGGCTGTTCTCAGGTCCCGTCCGCTCCCTACCGACCAACTGAACACTCGGCTCGACCTGACAAGGAAAAAAAGGCACAGACGATGTCGTGTGTGAGTTTGTGTCACATCCAAAATGAGCAGAAAAGAAAGGGCGAGAACTGGGACGCAGCACGAACCGCGGAGTTGAACCCAGAGGCTCAGCGGAGTGGAAAAGTCTGACATGTCACAACGGGTCAAGATCAAAGTGGAAAGATGATACTAATATCAGGCCAACTGCTCTCTCCCTCTACACTCCCGCTCACTGAGCTTGGAGAAAGTAGAAGATCTCCGCTTACAGTTCAATTACAACTTAACTCTAAATCTTGTAATAAACAGATAAAGACTAATTCTGAAGTGATGGAAAAAACAACAACCACTGTTATCGGCTAAATATTCAGGTTTCCTCGTGGGTTCTAACTGTTGGACGTGATGTCAAAATAGAAAAAGGATTTTAAATGTGTTAATGGGTAACATTTCGTTGCTACAACAACAGCCAGCAATACAGGTTGGGCCTCAAACCATAAACAAATGACTTCCCAGCAACACGTGGTTGGCTGCCTTCATGTGATTTGCAGTGAAATACCTCAGCTCTAAATATTTTTGAATAGTTTTGGATATGTCATTCATGGAAAGCAGATTCAAAGCAGCCATCGACCAACCGCCCTCTCACCCAGCATCTTTTAGCAAACCCCACTGGTGGATGAGAGGAGACTCTGGACGGCTGCCATCGCATTCCCTGACCCCTGATCCTGCAGACAGCCAACTATCCTCACAACAGCAGTGATGAACACACGCGTGGTCTATTTCTCCAACTAAAATTGTTTGAGAGCGCTTCTCGCAACGGCAAATGTGCACTAAGCTTTAAAGCCCTGTCTCTGGTGCACTCCTGTTCGCTCTTCCTCCCTTCCCCTCCTTTCTTAACATCCCATTCTCTGTTTTCCTGCCTCCCTCCCCTCTCTCTCTCTCTCTGAATTACTGAATGGGAGCCCCAGGCAGGCAGAGCCACAGAGTGCTCTTTGTAAAGGGGGAGAAAGGCAGCTCTGATCCAGGGGGAAGTGGCTACTGTGGGGACTAACCTCGGCATTGTGTGAGGGGCCTGGTTCCTTGCCCCGGCTTAAATTCAGTCACACACCCACAAGCAAACACACACACAGATCCCTCTTCATATCCTAAGTCTTTTGTGGTGAAGGGTCAAGTACACACACACACACACACACACACACA